ACATAGCTCGAAATGCATGTTTGAGAAAATGGGCACAACTCGAGATGCATGTTTAATAAAATGGACATGGCTCGAAATGCGCGTTTAAGAAAATTGACACAGCTCAAAAAGGGTGTTTAGAAAAATGGGCTTAGGAAAAAGAAATGTTCGATGTTTCAATGTTCCATCTAAATTTAGCAACTTAACGAAGAATTTCGTATTTACTTTTTTAAAATGCTAATCATAATTCAGCAAAAGTCAAGTTGTGGAAGAAATGCCTGAAAAGTAACATCAAGTTACAGGCATCTGTTATATGATGTTACTTTTCAGACTTCTGCGTCTATTCAAAACACTAAACAAAAGAAGTGCACTATGTTGTAATATCTTTCGAAATTTAATGTCGAACAACCCTAAAAATTGTGTGAAAGAACACTTTTTTCAAGTTAACACCCAATTGAATTTACATATACAGTTTATGAAAGCTATAAACATCAAAAATGTATATATTTTACACCAAGATCTCTCGCCTCTACACCATACGTTAAGTATTTTCTCTTCCAAAAACTCCAATGCGTTTTGATTCTGTCTGTAATTGTTAACAATCCATAATGAGTTGGCGACTGTCATCCATGTTGCTTTTTATTTGCAGAAGTTCGTTGTTGAAAAATAAAGATATATATAGTTCTGCATTTTCTTAAGTATGCATTTTGACTTGTCTTCACTTTCTCAAACTCGTATTTCGAGCTGTGTCCAGTTTCACAAGCTCGCCGACGATATATTAACAATAATAGAATAACAATATTTGAAATGCACTTTTTCATAATTTTTAGGAAATTGTGATATCGGTAAAAAAAAATATTTAAATGCATATGAAACTTCCCATTTACCTTATGACTATGAAACATAAGTAATAAAATAAAATAGTTTTTAAAAACAAAGCGTAGTTTTTAATTATTTTCTTTTGTCTTATTATTTTTTTCCATTTTAGTTTTGTTTAACGCGAAAAGAGGATTTCTAGAAACGATTATTCTAAAGTATTCTCAGGGAGAAGTCAAGCCATTATTTTTCCTGCAATCAAAATGTTTCAAGAAAGGTTATTTAGTATACTTACTTTTAAATCTATTGGAGAAAAAAAAATTATTTTCTTTTGCACGAGTTATATTAAAAGATTGTTTCAGAGTGATCAGGTGTTTGCTAAGAACAAACACAATCTACATAATAAATCCAAAATAGTGGGTGTATCTCTGAAGACACTTATATAAAATTTCACTCTCAAATTTCAAATTCTAGCCTCCCCCTTTTGTTTTATTTCTATTTTTTAATAAATATGCAGAAACATCCCATTTAATAATGTTAAAAATAATTGAATTAGATGGAATAACTTTTAATAATAATGAAATATGGGACGTCAAAAACAGTGCGTTTTTAGGGATCGCTTTTTAATAACTTAGCTAAAATTTAATTGAACCGTTGTTGAGATCGGGAAGAGCAAATGAGGGATTAAAATCATCAAAATTCGGTTTATTTAGCTGGAATACATTCGCCTTTCGCTAAGAGCTGCCTTTTAGCTACATTCTCAGATCTTGCCAATTTAATTGATCGTAACAGTGATTGGTCATAGTTAGGGAAATTTTAATCTGAGACTTCTAATGTGCATTTTGATTCTTTTTTCCTATAAATCAACTTTTATAAGGATTCTATAAGTATTTAGAGGGGTAGTTATTAAACACACTTACTTGTATTATGTAAGACCGAAACGAAATTAAATTTTTTTCCCTAATGCCGAAAAAAATGCGCCACAACATGTAAAATACATTGCATTAATAACATAACTCTGATTGGTATTTTAAACAAGCTTTGAAAATTACATGGTTTTCTAGATCGTGAAAATTCTTTATTCATTCGTTCTACCTCGAAATATTGCTGTATCATGTGGAAAACGTACTATAATCATAAAAGCGGTAAAGGTCAAAATAAGTTTATATTATGAAATAACTTCATGGTGTTTCTGTTTTTACATTGCAAAATATTTTTGAAATTTTATATTTTGAATGTATTTTGAATATTTTGATGTTCCATAAAAATTTGTCTCACTTATTATTTTTCTATAAAATTCTAACGATTGATTGCTCCAACATTTTAAGTATGAATCAATTTGCAGTAAAAAGCCATATTATACGAAATAAAAAACTATTTATAAGATTATTTTGTAAATATAATTATGTAAAAAAAGGTTTCTTTGTGCAGATTTTACAATTTAAAGGATCTGTTAAAGATCTTTATATTTATTAAAGATCTAAGATTAGGGATTATTATCTACTGTTGCAATGATTTTCATTTTTTTCCCACTATACACCACTGCAATGATTTTTTATTTGCAGTGTGTATTTCATCATTAAAATAAATTAAATTTAAAAAAATGTATGACTAATTTTTATATATATATATATATATACGTTATACGTAGTTTCGAAAATAGAAATNTATATATATATATATATATATAATTTTTGATACTTATCCGTTTCGGGGTAATACCACAGTATTAAAACCTATTACCCACTACCTTTACCGATTTTAGTTTTAAGTCGTTAATTGAAATAATCAAAATAAGAAACGTAATAGCAGAAAATAATAAGAACGGACGATTAATGAAAATATTACAGGTTTAAACCTTTAAATTATGAATAAAAATGTATTTTACAGGTAAATAATGTTTTTATAAACTTTATTAACCCACTTGGATCAGTCTGCGTAGGGACCGAGGGTGTGCGGTATTGGTCCTCGTTAAACTGTGTTACCGTAAAGTGCTCGACTTCGCGCGCAGGTCGTCGGGCTACCGAAGCGGGGGTGCCATCCCCTCCGCAGAGGATCAAAATTGTGATGGCATGTCTTCGGATCGTCCTCCGGGATGTTTCCCAGACCGTCGCCAATAGCCCATTGTGCAGCTCTAGTGCGACGTAAATTAACAACAATAACAACAACAATAAACTTTATTAATTTTATGCTGATCACAACCAAAGTAACTTGTATGTTCATCTGAGAAAACTAGATCATATCATGTGATTAATTTATTCGATAAGAATGCATAAATTGACATTTTTTGTAGTTAAGTAATTGATATCATAATTTTGTTATTAATAATGCTTAAACTTATAATCTAGAATCAAAATATTTTCGAGTATTACTTAAATAGGTTTGTCTTTTGACTCATTGAAAACTGACTTTGAATATTCGCAGTTATTGTCTTCTTTGATGCATTTCCACTTTCCTCTTAATTAAAAAAAAATGTTTTGCTTATTGTTTTTTTGTTGTTGCTGTATTTGATATTATTTCTTTATCATTAATTTTACCATAATTTTTAGTAGTTAATTATATTTGCTACGAATACTTTATTATTCTACTGATTTCGGTATTCATTTCTCTGCACAAACCGAAATGTTCTTATCTTTAAAGGATTTAGCATACTCGAATAACTGATATTCACTCTTAAAATGTAATTTATTTATTTTTTTGCATAAAATGTCGCAAGTAGGGAGAAGATATGTAGGGTCTGTACACTAGCTGAAGTAAACATAAAAGTAATAGAATCAAGTTAAAATATTTTTTCAAGTTTAAACAGTTTAATTTAAGTAATTTCTAATGCTCTCTGAATCCTGCGTGAAATATAGCGGCGTCAATTATGGAAATAAAAATACCTTTTCTTAACATTACAAATATTAAAAAATAATTTTACTTTTTTATAAAATTGCTTCACAATTTTTTATTGTAATGTGGAAGTGGATTATGATTGGAACAAAGAAAATAACAAAAAAAGGAACTATTTTGTCCTGTATGGACACGTTTATTCCTTATTTTTAGTCTTGTTTGAAGCATTAATATATCCGAAAGAAGGAAAAAACTTTTCTTCACAGTAAGTTTAAATAATTGTAAAAACAGATTCTATGCTTGCAAGCTGAATTATTGGAAAAATTGATAAGTAAAATACTTGAATATGGCCTGTATATGAACTGGAACTATTTATGTAATACAGTGTTAGTTTTCCCGTATCATGATTAGGCAAAGATTTCATTTTCCATATTATGTTCATACATTGTTTTTATCTTGTATGATGTTTCTGTTTTTCAAATTCTGTTCTTAGAGCGTTTTTATTTTCCATATTATGTTCAAACAGGTGAAAGAATTCAGGAAATTTTTTTTCCATATAAGCTAAATATGAATAATTTCAAAATTAAATACAATTAACAAAAAATAGACTTAAATGTTTCTTTTAAACCTCAAAAAGTACATGGCCCTAGGGATATTATTAATAAAATGACTATGACTATTCTAAATAATATCGTGGCTTAATTTGTAGCATAAAATATGAAGAATGAAATTTAATCAGTTTAAAACTTCATGATGAACATTTGCCTTTTCCCATATTATGTTCATGCAAAGATTTTATTTTCCATGTTATGTCCGTGCATCGTTTTTATCTTGTACGATTGTTTCTGTTTTTCAAATTCTGTTCATAGAACCATTTTATTTTCCATATTATGTTCAAACAGGTGAAAATATTCAGGAAAAAACATCTTTTCCATCTAAGCTAAAATATGAATAATTTCTTGCCAAGATTAAAAATGCCTGGATTATATACAATTAACAAAGGATAGATTTAAATGTTTCTTTTAAACCTCAAGAAGTACATGACTCTAAGGATATTATTAATAGAATGACTATGACTATTCTAAATAATAATTGTGACTTAGTTTGTGGTATAAAATATGAATAATGAATTTTAACCAATTTTAAACTTTATAATGCTTCACTTTTTTCATGACCAAAAAATTGTAGAAATAAAATCCTGGCTACGCGACTGAAAGCGCTTTCAACGTTTTTATTTATTTACTTATTTTTAATGAGAAATTTTAAAAAGTTGCTCTTAAGTACAAACTGTGATCACAAGAGCCATTTCAGAGTGTCCAATCGATGAAATAAATATGAATAATAAAATAAAAAAGAGAAAAATATACACTTACAGTTCTTTGCCCTCCATTCGTACCTGCCGTCTCCAACTAACTGAAACACACCTGGAGTATGGGCTTCTCCTTCGATCAGCGCCATCTCTTTCACTCAATCTTTTTAATAAGACATCAATAACACAGGCAGTGTCTTCAAATATTGCATTAAGACTGACGTCATCGTATTCATATTTTCTGGGTGGTTTCTCCGAGTCTTCAAAAATTGTATGAATATTTCTAAAAAAAAATTCGATGTTCATATTTTTTAAAAACTAAATTATTTGAATATTGAATAATATTTGAATATTATAAAAGGGGGTAAGTTCTTCGAATGTTCTAAAGGTGAATTTCTTATTCATATTTTTTTTATTCAAAATTAAAATGCTAAAAATACCTTAAAGGGAAAGACATACATGATAAAAATACAGTCTAACATTAAATTCTGCATTTATATTTTTTAAAAACTAAATTATTTGAATATAGAATATTAAATAATATTTGAATATTATTAAAAAAAGGAAGTTTTTTGAATTCCTTATTCATATTTTTTTATTCAAAATTAAAATGCTAAAAATACATTAAAAGGAAAATACATTATTGCGTGATAAAAAATACATTCCAGAATTAAATTCTGTATTCATATTTTTTAAAAACTAAATAATTTGAATATAGAATATTGAATAATATATGAATATTATAAAAAAGGGGGAAGTTTTTCGAATCTTCTAAAAGTGAATTCCTTATTCAGATTTTTTATTCGAAATTAAAATGATAAATATATAATAAAAGACAACGTTTTTTTTTTTTTTTTCGTCTTCAAAAATTATAATATATAAATAATGCTGTTGTCTTCTAAAATTTAATTCTATATTCGCATTTTTTAAAGACTAAAATACTAACATACATTAAAATTTACTCGTTTTCAAAAAGTTGACGTTTTCTACCCTTGAATTTTGTATTCATGTTTTTTAAAACTTAAAAAACATTAAAAGCGAACGATTTTTCCGAGTCTTCCGAAATTGTATTAAAGCTGTTGTCTTCTGGCATTAAATTTTATATTCAAGTTTGTACAAAGAAAAATACTAAAATACATTAAAAGGGCGAATTTTTTTCGTCTCTTTTAACATTGAATTTCGAATTTATGTTCTTGAAAAGCTAAAATACATTTAATGAACAGTTTTTTTCCGATACTGCAAAAATTGTATTAAGGCTTTTGACTTCTAACATCGAATTTTGTATTCATATTTTTTTGGAAACTTAAACTATTAGAAATACACTAAAAGTGGCGGGTGTCTTCAAAAATTGTATTAAAACCCTTGCCTTCACACATTCATATTTTGTATTCATATTTTTAAGAACTTAAATAAACTGAAGTGGGTGGTTTTTTCATGTTTTCCAAAAATTGCATCAAAAATGATGTCCTCCTTCATTGGACTACGTATTCATATTTTTTTTTTAAAAAATGAAATATAATACTGAGCAACAGATACATGTTTTAGATATCCCAAGAAAAAGCAGCTGGAAAAAAAAATTGGGAAAAAAGAAAGAAAAAACCACTTTTGCAATTACGTGATATCAATAACTTATTCGATTTGGCCGGTTGATCTCGAATTTCATGTAATTAAATATTCATTCAAATGTAATCCGATAGTTTATTTAAAAATGAATTAAGACACAAACATTAGCGTGAAGTTTACGAAAAGGAATTTTTAATATTTTATTAATATTGTTTATATACATATATTTTTTAATATTTTTAATTTTATATTTTTATAACGCTAAAATTATTATGCCCAATTAATGAACTGATAAATTATGTGATTTGATGGAAATATTAACCCGCAGAAGACTACGCAAAAATCACTTAGATATGTCGAGTGAGAATAGCTATTAATATTGGTCTGGCAGGTCAAGTGGGCCTGCAGGCTAAGTGGGGTAGAATAGAGGAGCGACAAGGACAACTGCCATATATTTATAATATACATATTTGCTGTGTACATATTCATAATAATAAATTATTTAAACAAGAATGATATAATTTTGAAACAAATTTAATAATGCAGTGTCCGTTCATTAAAATTTAAAAAAATTTTCAGTTAAAATTCTAGGTATTTTGCTGGAATTCGCAATTTTTTTAAAATTTTTTTCTTGGGCATTTAAATAAGATAGAATTTTAAAAGAGTGATAAAGCTTTTCTAAACATAGACTTAGTTTCAGTCCCCGGCAAGATTTAAATATGTGCTTTCTATCTTAGACTTAGTTTCAGTCCCCGGCAAGATTTAAATATGTGCTTTCTATCTTAGACTTAATACAATTTCCTAAAAATTATAATATGAAACAAAGACATAGTGAGGAGACATTCTGGAATTTATAATCATTCATTTTATTTCAACTTATATTAATTTATTAATTGCAATTTAAATTATTTTAATTCTAATTAATTGGGAATTAACAATTACGACGGAAAGGTGCAATTTAGAAAAAGTATTAAACTGGAACATTGTATACATTTACCAACTTACATCAAAATTAAATTAATCTTAAAAATATGAAAAAATGACTCACTTTCTTGCAATAATTATATTCAAAGTAAAGTTAAGAGCTAATTTTATCTAAGAGAATTAAAAAAATATTTTATAAAAAAATATTTTTATTATTTATGTAGGGGTGCACACCCTTTTTCAATGAAGGGCGGCGTGTCCAAGTATTTAGATGTGTTGACAACAATTAGAATAATTTTTATATAAACATCAATGTTTCAAACACAGTTCTTTTTATTAGTCAAAAGACTAAGTTTCAAACACAGTCTTTCTTTCATATTTTGATCTCTAAATGTTTCCGTTAAATTACATTTTAGGAAAAAATATCAAACATCATCAATTGCAATGATTACTCATTTCTTTAAAATTCCATCTTTTTTTGTGATAGCATGTTGCTTAGTCTTACTTTATATTCTTTTGTAACTTAAGCGCACTTCTTCGATTCGATTTTTCGAACCTATTCGATCACTATTCGAAAGCGATTCAGTTTCCTAATACAACAACTGTAACATTAGGCTACTATAGAAATCACAAGGTTGCTCAGCGAAGAAATTTGTCGCCTTCACGTGTGCTATATTCTTTTTCCAGTCCCGCAGTGGAATGATCGCAAAGGCGCGGTTCCCAGTAGAACACCGAAATCAAGCATCATTGGCTGCTGTCAGCGTGCGGGTGGGTGACCACTTTGATCAGCCTGCGAAGGACCGAGGTTGCGCGGTTCTGACTGTTCTACCATAAAGTATTCGACTTCACGCGCAGATCGTCGGGCGACCAAAGCAGGGGAGCCATCTCCTCCTCAGATGATCAAAATTGCGATGGCATGTCTTCGGATCATCGTCAGGGACGTTTACCAAACCATCGCCAATAGCCCATTGTGCAGCTCTAGTGCGACGTTAATAAAGTACCTGCCAATTTACATAACTATATTCTTTCTCCACCAATGAAAATATTCCTGGTCCCGCAGTGGACTGATCGTAAAGACACGGTTCCCAGCAGATCACCGAAGTCAAGCATCACTGGCTGCGGTCAGTGTGCGGGTGGGTGACCACTTGGATCAGTCTGCGTAGGGACCGAGGGTGTGCGGTATTGGTCCTCGTTAAACTGTGCTACCGTAAAGTGCTCGACTTCGCGCGCAGGTCGTCGGGCTACCGAAGCGGGGGTGCCATCCCCTCCGCAGAGGATCAAAATTGTGATGGCATGTCTTCGGATCATCCTCCGGGATGTTTCCCAGACCGTCGCCAATAGCCCATTGTGCAGCTCTAGTGCGACGTAAATTAACAACAACAACAACAACAAACCAGATGCTGAAAAGATTGTCAACACAAGTAACTATCCAGGTTATGCTGACCTTAACGCCTTTGTTTTGTTGTTGACTATGTCGCTAAATTGAATCCTCTTTCTTATAAATATCATTTATTCACACAGAAATAGCCTTTAAAACTCTTCTTATATCTGAACTTTGAACTCATCAGAATCTTGGCTACTAAAATAAGTAGAATTAGTCTAATCTTTGTATGCAAAGATTAGAATTATGTTAATTTTCAAAATATTTCTAGGTTTAACTTGTTATTCATAAATTGTTTTATTTAATGAAAATTTTACAAACGAGTCTTTTTGTGCTGCCTCCTTTGTTGTTGTCGTTTAAAGAACATTGTTGATAAATATATAGTATGATTTGTATTTTATAGCTTTCTTTCCTTCGAAAGTATTTAGTAAACTTATATTTATTTAGAGTTTTTAATGATAGCATTTTACAGTTTTATTCTTTTTTTTTCCTTTCTTCATTTATAATTAAAGAACTATAATAGTCCTTTTGAATCTTCGTAATCTTCAAATGCATTTGTTCTATAGTACAAATCATATAGAGGATCGGAAATTTCACTTGAAAGTTTTACCACATCATTTACAAGGACTCAATAAAAAAGCGCAAATCTATTACTTTGAAACTAATCTTTATTATGTAAAAAAAACAATGTAGCTAAACACTCGCATAATATTTATATGAAACTTTTGTTTTCTAGTGTCGAGCTCAGGGGTTCAGAGTAGCGAAGAACTATTGTAGTCGCTACTATTTTATTTTTAAAGTAGTGTAATGAGTAATTTACAAAAGTGTAGCGATTTCTGACTACTACTTTTAAATTTAATTTAGTAAGGAAACAAGATTCAAACGAACTCATTTTTTTAATCTGATTAGTGTAGTTCTTAGGCGGGTTTGCCAATGAATACGTCCCTGGATACATGTGCGTAATTATTACTGGATACGTATACGTATTCAATAATATTTAGACAGTAATTGGTATGTATATTAGACAGTAATTATGATCAAAGTGATAAATGATTTTTAATAATTCCTAAGCAATTATGTATAATGACTATTCCTTAATTTAGACATTGTAAATAATTTATAATATATTTGATCTAGCCGTTACAAATAAGAGCTAATTTATTACTTCAATCAAATCTTTCATATGTCATTAAACGCTAAAAGAATAATAATGAAAGGAAACATATTTTGTTCTGCAATATTTGATGTCCTTAATTTCTTAGAGAAAATAGAGGAATTAAACACTTAGCGAAATTTCAAATATATTAAAACTTTCTGGTATTAAATGTTCACTGTCAGAAACAGTATACAAAGTTGGAGGTTAAGAAAGCAAATTACTTAAAATTGTTTAGAATATCAATCTGGGCCTTGTAAATATAACTATGAATAAATATTTCTTAATAATTCCTCATCATTTCTAAATAATTCCTCATGATTCTGAATATTAGCAATTCTAATGTGCAAAACAGTTTTAAACATCAGTGTAAATTAAGCTCTAAAGCAAATTTTGTCTTCTGAAAATGGCGACAACGTTTCAAAAAGTTTGTAGTTACTACATTTTTTAAAAGAAAAAAAGTAATTTTGGTTATCTGCATTTATAATAATGTAGGTTACAGTATATACTACAAAAAGAAATGAGTTTCTCTTACCACTGTCTGAGTTTATGTAAGCTTGACAAAACTAATAAAAATATCAAAAAAATTATTTTATTTTTACTTGTTGATTTAATTGTTATGCATTTAAGTATTCAAATAATTATTACAGTGTGCAGTTATTTAAAATTAATATTGACTATTTTAGCTTCAGAAAAAGGGGAAGAAATGGATTTTGTTGGTAAGCTCTTCCAGTTTCACAATTGCAGAATCTTAAGGAATTCTTCAATCATAAAAGAAGATCTTTGGATTCGAGATGGAATGATTATAAATCCTGAACCTGTGTTTTATGATGAAAAGATTGTGGCTGACATCAAAGTTGACTGCAAAGACTCTTTAATTGTACCTGGATTTATAGATCTACAAATAAATGGTATGTTTATTTTTGCTACTTATATATACAGGGCACCTGGAAAGTCATGAGAAATCATGGAAGATCATGAATTTCGGTACTGAACAAAATTTGTCATGATCTATTTTTTTTTAAAAAAAAATCATGGAAATTCATAGATTTAGGTCACCGAAAAATCTAATTTTTAAAATGGAATTCACCCCCCTCCCCAATTTCATGGTGTTCCGAATATCTGAATTAGTGACAAAATCCCTATTCACAGTCATATTTTACTAAAATATGAAATGTTTTTATCATGTACTTTAAAAATTATGGTGCTCTTTCAAAAAATGAAAGAAAAAACATCATTTCTTGAGTGAATTATCTTTTAAACTTCAGTGATTTAAGAATTTTTGTTATTATTCTTTTTTATTTGATCAATTTCAAATTCTAGCTGGTGCAAGCCAGTCACTAGCGAATTTTTTTATTTCAAAATGAAAACAAAAAGATCAGGAATATTTCTTTCCTTTCCCATGAACAAGAAATGTATCTGTAGAATATAATTCTGTGCAGAGAGAAAAAAATTTTTTTTGCTTTTGTATTTTGTTCAGCTATTTTATTGCTTCAACTCTTTCTTTACTCTATTTTTTTTAATTTAAAATCTGTAAATATGAAGATGCAGAGTGTATCAGTTTTGGTTATTATATCTATCATTTCAATTAATGTTATTGTAATGTTTTTTTTAAATTGTGTTATTGTCAGACGAAATAGTAACTTTGTTAAGTCATGAAAAATTCTTGCAATTAGTCATGGAAGGTCATGAATTTGAAAATCTAAAATGTAGCAGATACCCTGACTATTATTGAAGTACTCATTCTTTCTCAAAACTGGAGAATAGGAAAAAAATTGTAGGGAAACCTGGAATTGTTAGGGAATATGATTTGGGAGGAGAGATAAAAATAATGCATTTTTCAGCCATAGACTAGAAAATAACCAATCTTAGCAGTGCTCAAAATTAAGGGTGATCCCAGACCACTTAAATTTGAATCAGGTCACCATTAAAATAATTATCATACTTGCAATCGATGTAAAGGGATAGTTTGCCCTTTTTTATTTATTTTCAGTTTCATGTTTTAGTTTTTGTCCCAAAATAGTATATTTTATTCTTATTGTACAATCTAACATTCTTTGTATTGTTATTTTTTATGTAAATTCTCTCCATTAACTTATTAAAAAAAAATAATACTAATTGAATTGCACACTAGCTGTTGAAAATGTGCTAGTAACATCTTTTAATATGGACTGAAATATCATTTAAATCAACTAATTTTTTTTTTTTTTGAAGAGAAATCGTCAATTAAAATTTTTATACAAAGCATTTTACTATTAGATTATTAAAATTTTTTATTGATTTTCATAGCTTTAAATGTTATTGCAAATATTTTGATAACTTTCAGTTAGCAAAACTTACTTGTCATTTAATAAATTACATAGGGTGTGTAGTGTTTATTTTTGTTTATTAAAAGCCTTTAAAGGTGATTTTTTAATTGGGTTTTTTGTAAAAAGTGCTTCATTTTCTCTTTACCAAAATAAAATTATTTCTTAATCATGCCAATTGCAGTCCTAAATTCCAAATAAAGTGTGGTTTCCATAATATATTGTTCAACATTTTCATTATTTATTCAAGCACAATCCATTTCAGCTTACTGACGTCCTTATATTGGGAAAGCGGTTATTATTTATTATATTTTATTATATTGTACTCATATGTCCGCATCATGTTTACTGAGCTGGATTCAGTTAGAAGAATTCTTGCAATCACATGTATTGCAAGTGACTTATTGATTATTGATTTCAGACCTCATTCAAACCGACAAATCTCTAAAGTTTTTGCTGATTGTGGGGACCAACTGAACATTTGCAAATATGTTTTGCCTAATTTTATCTTACTTTCCTGTTAATTTCTTTGCTTGTGCAGCACCATTGTCTGCATCACAGGCACAAGCCCTGTGACTCAATTTTTTTGGGCTTTCTGCAACGATCCTCTCTAGCGTTATTATTCTTCTGCAAGATACTACTAAAACCAACAGCTGTACCTGTTACTAATTTAAAGTAATGGAACAGTTGTATTTACTGAGAAAAAGTGTAGAAAACCCTATTTGAATAAAAATGAAATTGTAGATTTTTTTTATTGAATATAATATTTTTTATTCTAATATTATGGGCGATATTCTTACATTTTGTTGGAAGAAAAACATGCACAATATATTTCCATTCCATCAGCTTGATGTTTTGAGGAAATTTTTCACTGTGTTCCTCTATGACTGCACCAAGATTTTTTTTAAAAATGTCCAAATGACACACCTGAAAGTGAACTTTTGACAAAACATAAAAGAACATTGTAATTTTTTTGTTGTTGAATTTCCAAGCACATTTTGTATAATTCATTTGAAGTTGAGGTCTTTATTATTTCCCAAAAATTTATTGACAACTTCTTTAAAGGAACTCCGCGCTTCCTTTTAAACTTTTGTCATAATTGCTTAAAATACTTCGTCCTTCAAAATGTTTTGAATATCTTGTCCTACAAAAATACTTTTCTTCTCTTTCACGCATTTATGATTCGGGAAAACACATTCCTTCTTTGCCTTTCATGAATTGTTTTACCAAACTAAGTTTTATCTTCGGTGAAGGCAAAAGAATCTCATCTTGGTTAACCAAAGCTTCCTCATTAAAATTTTTGCTACAAATTTCCCCTCTCACTTAATTCAATGTTAACTTCTTTTCCTACTGTCTCACTCACGCAGGAAACATGGATAGTTCATATCCTCCCGTGAAGTCGAAGAAGTATGCAAATACTTTTAAATCATCTTACATGGTCCACATGTGATGCTTTTGTTTTCATCATTAATTCAAATTAATATATATGTTAATTTAAATTTTACAATTAAAAACCTGCAAATATAAATCATTAAAAATCTTTAAATCTGACTCTTAAAATCTCGGAATATTCTGTTTTGTCTGGAGAGAATCAACCCTGGGGCAATTATTTTTTTAAAAAAATATGCTAATGAAAAACTGTATAATATAAATTCAGGCAGCATTTTCTTATATAGACAAGAGGTTCTTCTGACTGCGGAATTTCCTTATTTCTTAACTTTAGAAGAGAATATAAATAAAGATAATTATTTGTAAAATGTCTATTTTTTCATATTTCTATATTACATTGTTGTTTTGCTTTATTATTATTTTTTCTCTTTATTCACGATTTACATTCAAAGCTTAACAGTTGGTTGGACTGTCAATGTACACATACAGTTAAAAAAAAAATTTATTAATTTTTTTGTCTTTTAGATAAAAATAGTTTCACAAGCTGTTTTATTTATTTTTTTCATAATTTGAGTATATCGATATTTTCAGACCTTCTTCTTTTTTCCCCTCACTCTCATGCCTGCTCGTAGTTCAATTTATTTTTAATAAATGTCTTAGTTAATTTGTGTTTAAATATTTGTCTACCTGTAGGTAATGTCTAAAGCAACCTTATTTATTTTGTCATTCTTTTTTTAAGAGAAAAAAAAAATCTGTGAAATTTATTTTGCGATTTTTTTTTTCTCCATTCGTCCTACCTTTTTAGTAATTTATTATGATACATTTTTATTCCATTTTCAATTGTGTATTTTCATGTGTTATGTATTATTAGTGTAAAACTATTTTTTACTTAATAATATAATTTCAATTATACTATGTTTTATTTTTAATAATTGTTCAATTAAATTGTTTATAAATTTTAGCTAATTATGAACTATAAATTCTCAAAGCATCTTTAAGAAAATCCCATTTCAAAACAATAATCTGCTCTTAATCATATTTATTTGCTGGCAAAGGGGTTTAAGTGTCCAAAAGTATTAAATACTTAATTAGTTCTTTGTTTATATGTTCTATTTTCTAATATAATTGTTTATGTAAATAAAAAAAATATGTAAAAAATATTACTTTTACCACTGCCAATAAAAAATACACTGATATTGCTTTTAAATTTAACTAATTTAGATTTTTATGTATTGTTTTAATACTAAATATTTCTATTTATAGGTGGGTTTGGTTATGATTTTTCAAATCCTGAAAAGGATGTGTCTAGCAGCATTGATGCTGTATCTAAAAATCTTCTTCAGCATGGTGTGACCTCTTTTTGTCCCACTGTTATAACATCATCTCCTGATCAATATCATAAAGTAAATTTACATTTTTGATATATATCTTTCTGCCTAGTTGTATGTATTACATTATTCATAATTCCAGTCAAGTTTTTAGAGAGCAAATACAGCAAAAAGGAGCATTGCACTACATACAGAAAAGAAATTCAAATTTTATCTATAGTCCTTTCAAATTACTACAGGATTGTGTCAATGCAATGGTCCAGTTCCTGTCAGATTCCATTTAACATGGTATTAACAACAGTATGTACAGTGTATGAAATTCTTTCATAGACTTCTTCTCAGGAAAAAGTTACTCATGCTGACAATTATCATAGTACCATGTTGAATAGTCTTGCAAGAAATGGACAATAGCATTGATGTAACCTGGGCTCTTGCTGTTTATTAAAATAAATGTAAACTGTAATAATGTAAATAAATATAAAAACTAGATTTCTATTTTTACTATAGTTAATATATTTATTGTTCTTTTCCATACTATTTTACCATTTTTTTAAAATTAGATTTAATGTTTATATACTAATCAACAGGATTTGCTGATTTGAATCAACTTGATTTAAATCAAATGATTTTTTTTAGTATATATATTGATAGTACAGTACCATCTAAACTGTGCAATCGCTTAAGAAATGAGAAAGCTGGAAAACTTTTGTTTCATTTTATACAGTTTAGCAACAAATTACAAACAAAATATTGTATTTATGTTATCCTTAATATTGTGTACATTAATTTCAAATCACAAAATGAAAATGTCTATGTTATTAAATTAAATAACCCAGAATTAGAATTGCGCTGTCTCTTTTATCAATAAGTATTTTTTTCTCATAATATGTTTACAGTATCTTTGACATTATCAGATTTTCTATAAAGAAATTTTGTGCAAAAAATTCCAATAGATTTTAGTACATAGATTTTTTTTAAAAAAAAATTTAGCTTAAATTATCTATTTTGATGTAGTATTAAAAATTAATATTTTAATTTTAAAATATGTTGATCAAATATTTTTTTGTCAAATATTTTATTATTGATGTTGATCAAATATTTTATTATTGATGTTGATCAAATATTTTATTATTGATATGTTGTTGTTATATATGTTGTTGATCAAATATTTTATTATTGACTACATTTATAAACACAATCAGTTTCATTTATTTTGTCATTTTAAAAATCAAGAGAAAAAAAAAAAGAAATCACAATTTTAAATTAAAATTATGGTTTGCTAATTGAAACTTTGTATTGATGGTTAAAGTATTCTTTCAATTCTCAATTTCATCTAGTCTTTAAATTTGAATCATGCATTTTTTTCAAAATGGTTGCTATGCATTCAAAGCTATGTATTATAATGAAAAATTGTTTTTAGTAGTTAGAGCTTCTGAAATATTGTTATAATATAGTTTTAATATTAACTTAATTTTGATTAAACATTTATAAAGTTTTTTAAATCAAAAAATCACAAACCTTGCTAATCATTTAATTCCTTACTTTCTATGGTTTCTTTTTTTTAAGTCACAAAAAACACAATACCATCAGTAATTCTATATTTTCTTTAATTTTGCAGATAATACCAAAGATAAAAACTCAAAAAGGTGGTAGACATGGCGCAGGGATATTGGGTATGTCAATTCAAGCCACTCTTTATTAAAAGTAGGTTTTATTTTAATCAATTGTACAATATGAATTGCTCAAGTTCTTATTTGAAATTAGGAATTTAAAAAGACTAAAATTGTTGCAATGCCATTATAGGCGTTGCAGATTTCCTAGCTTTTAAAATCTCTATAAATTTTATGAATGTCATTTTTTAATTCAATTAAACCAATTATTTAATTTTTATCACATTTTATAAAAAGCCCATATAAATATTTTATTCTCTTCTTAGTAACCAATGTAACGGCTAACTTTTTAATTCAATACAAATGTATAACCCATTAATTCACTATTTTGACAAAATTGAACATTAAATTACTTTTGTTCACTAACCACAAAAATGTTTCAGTTATAGGCTTATATTCTCACAGTCTTTTTGGTGATTAAGCTATAGTCGAATTACTTCAAATTTAATACTCATAGTGCAGGGTTGGCTTTGTTTTTGGCTTTCAATAAATCACCACTCATAAGCATCCATTGGGAACAATACAGTCACTGCTTATTTAAAATTCTTGGCATGAGAACTGGAGGTTTCGCCTCTCACTCTGACTGTTATTAATTTACACAAAAATTTCACAATGTTTAATAATGCATCTCTTTGTCCCCATAAAGGGAACAGCCTATAATTTTGATATTTTTCATTTTTATGGCCATAGATGTTTAATTTTTAATTCTTTCTCAATAAAACAGTCATTGATTTATAAATGCAATAATGCTTATGTACAACAGACCATTACCACTACTGCAATAATTATTCTTACATAAAATTAAAAAAAAAAATGACATCAAAGTTGAATATCTCATATTTTGTTTAAGGGAACTTCATACTAAAAATCTTAATTTTTAATTGATACATTCTGTTTAGAAAAAAAAAAAGCTTTTCAAAAAAAAACTTTTTTTTTNTCAAAAAAAAAAATTTTTTTTCTTCTTTTTTATAATTATTATTATTTAAAAACTTTTATCTTAAATATCTAAATTTTAACAGATAATTTATAAAACAACAAAAGATGTATTAAAATACTAGCTGAATACCCATTCTTCCCTAGGGAATATTTAAAAATAAATAATTAAAAAAAGCAAATCAGTATTGAGAAACATTATGAAATCAAACTGAAAATCATATATCGACACAATTTAGAAACTTGGAAGAACCAGATAAGTGATATTTTTAGGGGAATTAATGAATTAGAATTAATAAGATTTAAAAAAAGTGTCGGACTAAATACGGGTATGTTTAATGCAACAGAACTGTTTTTGTTTTCACTTAAATTTCAACGTAACTAATTACATCAATTTTCAGTATGCTTGTATGATTTTTATTTCAAATTAGGTCACGGTAAATAAATAAAAACAAAGAAATATTTGTCCCACTTTCTAATAAGTTGAAAATTAAATAGTTCAGATGCAACTTTTTTTTCCCCTACAAATGTCATTAACCTGTTTCTTCCACCAAGTTTTTCAATTAATATAGCTAAAATAATTTTAATTTAATGTTATATTTTGTTATCTTCGATGGCTTTATATTATTGAGGTAAGCAAAGCTTGTTGTTTGTAATTCATGCCATTGAATAAAGATGAAATGTATTTAACATCTCTTGGCATGATGCTATTGCTCACGGCCGATTCATGATAATTAAAATTCCCCTTAAATTAAGCACTTAATTCCAAAGTACAGGTATCAGAACTGCTTGGTGCAGTTTTAAAAATCACCAAATGTATCAATATAATATTTCATACCTATATAAGTATATTTGATACTTATTCAGGGGTCTGTCCAGGCCGAATTTACTACCGTTTAGCGGTACCTTCACAAATTCAACTTTAGGAAAAACGGTAGTTTCACAAATTCAATTTTAAGAAAAACGGTAGTTTCACAAAATACTTTTTCTTAAAATTTTATTTTTGTATCCCTTAAGAANATAGGTATTCTTTTTGATATTCTTGTACATTAAGCTATTCTTTGTCAGATAACTTACAGTACTTGTTTGATATAAAGTAATTTTATAAGCCTAATGGCATTTTAGCATTTTGCTAAAACTTTTTTTCAGATTTTAGCTTTTTTGCTAATGAATTTTTAGACTCAGCTTAAACCCTGAATACCACTGGAAAAAATATTTTCTGAAACTGTTGATAACCCGTTATAGAATTCTTATCAGAACCAATTTGTCAATTACCATAATACCAGTAGTACATATTACCATCAGTGATACCTGTGAATTAAGCGTCATCTGTGAATGGGAATTTTTTACAGTTTTCACAAACAAATTTCCCATTAATCTTTCTTCAATGAGCTTGGCTCTTGAGCGTATAGCTTATTTTATTTTACTTCAATTAATACAAATTATCAATATTAATTGAGCTTTAGTGTCAATAATAATATGCAGATTTTGAAACTATCTATATGCCAAATTTCATTGCTTTCTGTCTGACAGTTTAGGAGTCTATAACGGACACCCAGACAGACACACATTCATTTACATATATATATATACTACGCATTTATATTTATGTATGTTATTTGTATATATGTATATATATATTTACGCATGTTATAATTAAAACAAGAATCCTTTGAAAACAATGTATTTAATATTACAAAAACCATATAATGCAATGACCAAATATGTCTTCAATAATTAAATCATAAATTTAAATTGTCCACTTAATTTATTATACTAATAATTAATTCATGTAAAAAGAAATTTTAATTTATTTTTATTTTCGGTTCATATAACAGTGTATTAAATAATATACTAATAGCTTGGAAAAAACTTTTTAAAAATGCAATTTAAAAAAAAAAAACAGAATTTAATAACTTTATTTTGTTACAATATAAGAAAGAAAAACGTAGTACTATCTATTGAACTTAAAATAAATTAAACTAGTTAAATTAAATTGGTAGATTCTCTTTTTGGTAAAATTCAAATTATTGTTAAAGTAGATTCTAATAAAGAATCTATAGTAAAAAGAAATACCAGTTCATTTTATAAAATCTTAAGATAAACAGGATTCATTTAAAATAGATGAACAGGATTATTCACTCATCTGCAAACATTTGAAAAAAGAGTATTAGTTTCAAGACATCCTTTTAATGCAGTTTTTCAGTGTACTTTCTAAACATGATATATGAAGAGCATTTTTTACCCCCATGATCAACTTAAGTAATCATTCGGGTGGAACAATTATTAGATCATTATTCATTTGTAATCGAATTTTTTTTTCATTTTTAAAATAGTTTTTATCCCTTCTGTTTAATGAGCTAATTGATATGCTAAGTGTCATATAATTGCATTAACAAATCTGACAAACCTTGATTTAAAGCAGATTATTTAATTCAACCCTTAAACAGAATAACACGAACAATAAAAAATTCTTTAGGTAATTATGAATTAATAATTAATTTTAAAATATAATAAAACAGTTAAATAACAAAAACTCTTTGTGTATAATAATTTTTTATTAATAGATGACAAATATCATGTTTGTTTGAACTTGTTTGGAATAAATTCAAGAAATTGCTAATTATTTAAAGTAAATAGTATAATTAAGTATTTTTAAAGTTAAAACTATAAAATATTTTTTAACTATATTATTTTTTAATTTATAATGTTATTCATACAGTAACTTTCAATGAAGATTTGTTGCAAAGTTTCCTCAATTAAGACAATATTTAAACAATATCAATTGAAATACAAGTCCTTTTAATAAATGTTTCTAAAAATTTCTATTTTTTTCATATTATTTTTTAATATTTATTTGAACTTTAAAATTAGTTCAATACATTTTTGTTTATAATTGTTTACTTACATAATTTTTAAACTAAATGCCCTTTCTTTCTCTTCTTTTTCCCTTTCTTTTCTTGTTTTGTATATAATTTTTTATTTTACTTTATGAATAAACAATTAATTTACTTTTTCTTCTCTTAGTTTCCAAATTTCCCTTTAAAAGCTACGCAAATAAGTATGGCACTGTATTATTAAAACAATTAAGTGACTAATTCAACAATTTTTGTAGGTGTTCATGTAGAAGGTCCATTCATTAATATTGATAAGAAAGGAGCTCATCCTGTCCAACATATCAGGCATTTAGATAATGGTATTGAGGATGTCATAAAGACATATGGTACTTTAGATAACATCCGCATTATTACTTTGGCACCTGAACTCGATCCTGATAATATAGTAATCAAAGAGCTTGTTCAAAGAGGAGTCACTGTTTCATTAGGTATTTCATTTTATTCTTCTTGTAGAATCCTATTACTAGTTCTGGAACAATTAAAATTTTAATTTATGAATACAACCTTATTTACTCTTCAATTTTTTTTCTGTGTGTTTATGTTCTGAATTTACCAATTGCTAAAACTTTTGATAGGATTTAAATGTTTTTTTTTACTTTAATGTATTCCTGTTCACACTTTCTTTTTACTTGAATTAAGATATTTTATTTTATATCCATCGTCGAACAGCCTACGCAATTTTGGGTTGATGACAACTAAGGTTCGACTCTGTAACCTTGTAATTTTGAACCAATCTAGCACGCAAAAAAACTCCTGAATCATTAGCCCCAGAGGTATGATTTGTTATGGGAACATTAAGGACTCTGTGACTCGACAGATTTAACGTGCATCAGTCACCATTTACTACACGGGGAGTCTTCAGCCGTCCTGGATCGATCCCACAAACTCTGGGCATGGACATGAGCCCAGTGCCCTACCGACCAGGCTATCCCGGCCCTTTGAATTAAGATTGTGTAAATGCTATTGTTATGGCACAATCTCTTAAATAAAATAAATATGAAATTATTTCTAAGTTCAGGGTATCCGCGCACCTGGAAAGTCATGAAAAATCATGGAAAGTCATGAATTTCAGTATTGAACAAAATTTGTCACGAAATGTTATGAATTTAACTATTTTTTTAAAAAGATCATGAAAAGTCATGGATATAGGTTGCCAAAAAATCTTATTTTTAAAATAGAATATCCCCTCAATTTCTTGGTGTTCCGAATGTCTGAATCCCCACTCACAGTCATATTTGATTAAAATATAAAATGCTTTTATCAAACTCTTTAAAAATTATGGTGCTATTTCAAAAAAAATGAAAGAAAAAACATTTCTAGAGCGAATTATCTTTTAAACTTCTGTGATTTCAGAATTTTTGTTATTATTTTTTATTTTATCAATTTAAAATTTTAGCTGAAGCAAGCCAGTCATTGGCGACTTTTTNATACAAAATTTTAGATTGCAAATTTGAGTCATCATTTCTTATTGTGTTCAATTTGCACAGATTTTATCGTAAATCTATTTCGTTTCTCAATCGCCTTTTCAATGGTTATTGTTACAAAATTCTGCATGATTTTTAAAATCCCAATTTTTAATGCGATATTACAATGCGTGAATTTCGAATTTGAGTCATCACTTTTCACAAAAACTCACCATACATAATATTTACGTGCTATTATAATATTTACGCGAATAGTTCATAGAAAAAATATCATATTTGCCACCAACTTGACTAAATGGATCATAGTATATGACAATTAAGTCATTTAATAAAATTTTAGCCTTATTTTTGCTGAATTTTTTTTCTTATTTAGGCAACTATTTTCATGTTTTAGGCTACTAAAGGCAACTATTTTGTTCATTTTTTTCTGTGGCAACCCTGGGTATCCGCGCACCTGGAATGTCATGGAAAGTCATTAATTTCAGTATTGAACACAATTTGTCACGAAATATCCTGACTTTAACTATTTTTTTAAAAAAGTCATGGATATAGGTCGACGAAAAATCTTATTTTTGAAATGGAATCTATCCCCCACCCCCTAATTTCATGGTGTTCCGAATATCTGAATTTGTAACAAAATCCCCACTCACAGTCATATTTGATTAAAATATGAAATGTTTTTATCGGGCTCTTTAAAAATTATGTTGCTCTTTCAAAAAAATGAAAGAAAAAACATTTCTAGAGCAAATTATCTTTTAAACTTCTGTGATTTCAGAATTTTTGTTATTATTTTTTATTTATTTTTTATTTTATAAATTTAAAATTTTAGCTGAAGCAAGCCAGTCATTGGCGACTTCTTTTATTCCGAAAAGAGAAGAGAAAAATCAGGAGTATTTCTTTCCTTTCTGATGAACAAAAAAAGTATCTTTAGATTGTAATTCTGCAGAAAAAAAAGAGAAAAAATTTTTTGCTTTTGTATTTTTTCAGCTATTTTATTGCTTCAACTCTTTCTTTACTCTGTTTTTTAAATTTAAAATCTATAAATATGAAAATGCAGAGTATAACAGTTTTGGTTATACTACCTATCATTTCAATAAATATTACTATAATGATTTTTTAAATTTATTGTTGCGTTCTTGTCGGTGAAAATACTAACTTCGTTAAGTCATGAAAAATTCTTGGAATTAATCATGGAAAGTCATGAATTTGAAAATCTTAAATGTAGCAGATACCCTATAAATTTTTATGAGACTATAGAATTGGCAAATAATTTGACTTTTAAATCTCAAAATGCAATTTTTTTTAACAAAAAGAAAAAAACCAGAATTGAATTTTATTCAATGACTTCTAATAAATAAATATTTATTACACCCTTCCTTTAGTTATTTACAAGCTATGAGATATATTCAAAATTTCCATGATCCTAATTTTGGAACTAGAAAAGTACGAGATTTTTAACTGTTCCCTGAATCGCGATTGAATTCTGCAGCGGCTCTGGCGGTATCATTATGCCTGTTATTTATCAATAATTCAATTTATTTAATATATTTTATTCACTCTATAGGTCACTCAGCTTGTCACCTCTCTGAAAGTGAAAAAGCAGCAAATAATGGGGCTTCATTTATAACACATTTGTTTAATGCGATGCTTCCTGTAAGTTGTGATTATTTAAATAAACCAGTTTCATCTATTTTATTTTTGATTCAGCACAGTTTATAACTGCTGAAAACCTAAGTCTAATACAAATGATTATGTAATTAAAAAAACTTCTAAAACCCTATTTTCATTTTCAGATTTATATTCTTATAAAACTGTATAAATAACAGCAAAATTTTAACTTTAAATCTTTTAATGAAAAATAACCTAAATCTAGTTGTTTGTATAAACAAACAGGGAAAAAAAATCTTCTTATTCAGTAAATTATGAATATTGAATTTTTTTTCTTTTTAATTAAACAGAAATATTTCTTCTGTAAAGTTATAATGTTTTTTAACTTTGTTATAATATTTCTTCTGTAAGTTCTTTTTATTTACTTTTTACATCAACATTCTTTTGGTCAAATTGAAGCAGTCCAAGTGTTTTCGAACTATTATTTATTATTCAAAAATCTAGTAAAAATTATCGTAAATTCTAACCTTTAAATTTGCTTTTTATCCAATTTTAATTTATTATTTGTATCTTTGTTTAAAGTTATTTTCTTCTAAATTATTTAATCTGTTATTTAAAAATCTCAACGATTTCTATAATAGTTTAATTTTTAAAAATTGTATTGAATAATTATTTTTTGAGAGTTTATTTATAAATGTCTTTCTTACTTCTGTGTAATCATGCGAAATTGAAAAATTTTTGTGAAATTAATTTTGTTACTCTTGTGTAAATTCAGATTTTATCATATGTTAAGTTTTTTTTCCCTTCCATTTATTTAACTGTTTGAAGGTATTCATTTAAACTAACTAAACTCAGCGGTGCGACAGCCCATAGAGGGCCAATGCCTACTGTTCCCATCTCAGTTTTCTTGACCTTGGGCTCTGGGGTGCAGGAGCAGATATTCCGGTCAGGTGGTCAGCCGAACGCGGAACCCCCAGTGTTTAGTTCCCAAGCATGCTTGGTACTCATTTATCGACCCACTGAAAGGGTGAGTCAACCTTGCCCGGCCCGAGGATCGAACCAGGGACCTGTGGCACGACAGCGCGAAGCGCTACCGCTTTACCACCTGGCGTCATTCATTTAAGCATTATTCAAAAATTATATTTTAAACTAAATTTATACTACTTAAATTTTTAAAAATTATTATTTGCAAATTGTAGCAAGCATAATGATATGGTCCTTTTTGTTAAACAGTGAAGTACTGCAATTTTAAAACACTTTTATAATTTACTTTTTTTTTCAGGAAAATATATTTATTCTGTTTTAAGTTTAATTCATTGCATTGCTTGATATAAATTTTTTTTATTTTTTTAGTTCCATCACAGAGATCCAGGTTTGGTGGGATTACTTGCAAGCCATAAAATTCTCCCTCCTAAAAAAGTATTTTATGGACTTATTGCAGATGGTATACACACTCATCCTGCTGCTCTTAGGATAGCTTTTCGCACAGATCCTAAAGGTAACAGACTTACACATTATATTTATATTTAAGCAACTATAAAATTCTTTATATGAACACTAAAATTTACTCAATATATATCTGATAATTAAAACGATGGACTTAATTGAATTATTTTATAAATGAAGTGCAGTATTAAAGAAGTGTGGGGAGATGAGTTTTTGACAATGTCCACTTTCATCTATGAAAAGGTATCCCCATCATAAAATCGAGTTAATCTGTCTTAAACACTAGTGAATTGGAATTTTATTTCTGTAGTGGTAGACACACAACAGTACACCCCCACCAGAATTATATCTGTGATAGAATTCGATGAACGGATACCACTAGTGGATTCATTGCTGTTTGTGAGAAGCCGGGAGAGCTGTATTAAGATCACCTTACATTTTGCTGATTGTGAGAGCTGTATTAAGTTAGCGGTCGTGGGTGCTCCTGTGTTGCCATTAGCAGTCGAGTGTGTGCAGGCTGGCGTTGCGTGTGATCGAGACTGAGTAGCAACAGCGCGAGGAGAAGGTCAATTGCTCAATGTGGACAATCCATCAAAGTAGGCGTGTTCAAATCGAGATGGGAGTTTCTGTCGAGGTAGGCGTGTTCACATCACTTCCAAAGTTCATCAATGTGGGTTGAGTTGTTGTCGACGGTGTCAACCTTCATCTATAAGAAGGTACCCCACCATAGAATTGAGTTAATATGTCTTATATATTCTAGTGAATTGTAATTGTATTTCTGTAGTGGTAGACACTCTAAAGAAGTAGTGAAACAAGAAACTTTCAAAGTTTTTAAATACAAATTACTAATGCTAAATTTTCTCTCGTTTTACTGACAAACAAGTAAGTGATTTCCAAACTTGTTTAAAAAACAGAAGTACCTAACGTTTAGTCAAAATAATCACAGCAACATAGTGGTCATTTAGGCAACTTTTATTTCTCAAGTACTGGAAAACAAAATTTTCTAGTTTTCTTATTTCTTTGGTGAGTAGACTATTCACTGTCAATTTACATTTTATGAAGTAAAAATTAATTGATATGGGTCAGTCTTTTTAAATAAACCTGTATTATAGATATCTTATCGGCTAATAAACTCTGAATTTTCAAGAGTAATATGTTTTTTTTTTTAAAAGCTCATTAAGTTTCTATAAAAATCATTGTAGTAAAAAAGCTTAGTTGCATAGCTATTAGTTTGTGATTCGAACAGAATTCAAATATACATAATTCAAATTTACATAAATTCAACTTGGTATTTAAAAGTGTTTTTTGAATTGTGTAAATGTTAAATAATATCACATTATTGTAAGATAATATTAACATAAATTGAACTCATCAAGTTTTTGAGAATATGTTTTGAATTGCGTAAATGAGACTGTCAAAAATGTCAAATGGCTGTCAAATGAGACTGTCAAAATTAAGTCACATTGTTGCAAGATAACAAATAGTGAATGAATAAGAAAGAAAAAAAAATTTAATTTATTTGTGCAATTTTTTTCAATTAATTGTAATAGATATTTTGAAGCAGACAGTATTGATCCATCAATATTATCTTTTTATTTGACTCAGCAGGATCTCATACTTACATTTGAATAAATACGACAATGCTTCAGCAAAAATATGCCTAAATGTATTATTTATATAGGCCTAAATGTTGCCAATTTCCTAAATGTAACCATTGTGCTTGTACTTAATTGTTTTCTGAATATGGGCCATGATGTTAAATAAAGTAAATAACCTAATATACAGTGATTGAAAGGAGTGACGGACTGTATCTATTGCATTATTATTATCATTATTTTAGAATATTATAAAAAAGTATTTATACAATTTTCCCATTATACAAGATGGGAAAGGAAAATTTTCTATGCTATTTTAATTGATTCATAAATTTATTACTGAGTTATTTATCAAATTATATATTTTCTTAAATGTTTCAAGATCGTGTTCTGGATCTAACAATATTATGCCGATTTTTCGTGAGAAAAAAAAAAGGAAATGAAGTCCCATCCATTTCTCTTTTCTTCTATTAAATTTTTGAAACTGAAAATCAAGCATAAAATTTCAGCTTTAATAATGTATGTGTTTTCATTTTCAAATAATGAACTTACTTCTCTGCTTTTTAGTGCATATTTTAAATAGAACCTTTGTAAATATATTTTTTCAGATTTTATCACTCATTGTATTTTTTGTTTTCAAAGGTTTGGTTTTAGTAACGGATGCCATATCTGCTATGGGATTGAAACCAGGTACCTATAATTTAGGTGATCAAGCAGTGACTGTTACCGAAGACCGTGCTGTTGTTGCCGGGACGGATACTTTGAGTGGAAGGTAAAATACTTTATTTTTTGTTGTTTCTTTTTTTTTTTTCATTATTCCATTAACTTTTTTTTTCTTTTTTTCCCACAGTATTGCTACTATGGACTTTTGTATTAAATTTCTTCTATCAGCCACTGGTAAGATATGCTCACACTATTTGTTTTATCTATCTATTTAGAGTCATTTTTAAAATTGTCTTTCTGTGACTGTTACAGATTTAAAAACATTTGTGCAGGAGTATGAGTGGTGTCAAATTTTTTTAGCAAACTATAAATACGATAAAATAGAAATATCTATCCTTTATAAGATTGTGAGAATAAGATTAAATATACATAATATTTTGTTACTCGGTATTCAATATCTGCACACTTAATATATTATATGTTATAGTTTTTTTACCCCACAATGGACTGATTGTTTAAGACATGATTCCCAGTAGGTCTCCTGAGGGGCCAAGAATATGGGGTATTGTTCCTAGTTAAACCGTTCTACCGTGAAATGTTCGACTTCTCACGCAGGTCACCTGGCCAATACAGCTGGAGTAAAGGATCAAAATTGTGATTGCATGTCTTTGGATCATCCTCAGTGATGTTTCCCAGACTGTCGATATTAGTCCATTGTGCGAGTCGTGATGGCTCTGGGGATAGAGTGTTTGCCTTCCAATGAGATGAACCAGGTTTGCATTCCAGCTACCGCTGTTCGATACGAATTCCGAATCTGGCTCGGACGGACCACGTGCAGGCATGAGATATCCTAAGTAGTAGAGGGATCATGGGTTAAAGTCCCTTTGCCATCAGACTTACCATGAGAGGTTTTCGTGGTTTTCTTCTCCATGTAATGCAGATGCGGATTAGTTCCATCAAAAAGCTCCCTTTAAAGGTAAATTTCTCCCTATACTTGATCCAAGAGTTCCCTTGTCTTCTGGATTGGGTTATAAGATATAATATCCTATTGTGCAGCTCAATGTAAATAAACTACTTCTACTACTAGCATTCATAAGTGATTAAAAATCATTAGTGTCCTCATGGGATGTTAGTTTTCAGTACTATAATGTATTTCTGGCTTTTTAATAAACTTTTAAGACTGAAAAAGACAGAACAAGAAAAGTTTTAAGAGTAATGGCTAAATAATATAAAAATAAATAAATAGTGCTTCAGTGGAACCATTTTTTGTAATGGGCTTAGTAAGACAATAGGAGAAATTTGATTTTTTTTTTCATATTGAATTGTGTGTACTGTTTAAGTAATTAGGAGTAAAATATTTTTTCTACATCAGAATTTAAAAATTGATTAAGTAAAAAAATGAAAACCTCAAATTGGAGAATAATTCAGATAAATTTGATTTGATTTAATTAACGTTACATATTGAAGAATTAGCTATTCTCCTTATCTAATGATAAAAATTTAAGCAGTCATCTTGTTTATTTACTTATAAACTTTTTTGTCCATATTTCTGTCTTTAGAATTTTAGAAATTTTTACCCATGGTATCCTTTCATTATCTCCTACTCATATCAATGGAAAAGCATAATACAACCAAGGTTATTATAAATTGAAAAGTCAATGTTTTTTTTTACAACATCATTGAACGGCAAACTCATTTTTTCAGTTTGCAACTACCAATGTTCAACTTTGTTGCCTTGTAATTTTGAACCCAACCCAGAAGGCAAAAGAATTCTTGGATGAAGCATTGGGATTAATGAGTCATTATATAGGACTTTTTGATGGAACTAACCAGCATTTGTGTGAAATAAAGAGGAAAATCACAAAACCTCCCACAGTTCTAATCCGTTTTCCACTGAGGATATTTTTCATCAGCACTGTGATCAGAACCCATTCGTTCAGGAAGTAGAAATGCCTGATGCACAACCTTTGATTGATCATTTATTTCAAAATTGTCAGGTATTCACTTTAATGACCCCCTTGGTCCGCAATCAACTGTCGCAAGTGTATTAAAAGTTTTTTGTTTTCTTTCCTTTTAAATAGCAGCACAATTTTTCCAATTATATCCCATCAGTATATCATTTTTGGTCCAGAATAGTAGTTACTATTCTTTCTAGTTTTAAATAATACATTTTAATTTCTCTTTTGACTATTATTCTTGCCTTAAACTAACACCTGTTAAAAATGCATTTATTTTTAAATGGAGAAAAATGTTTATGTAGTTTAGATAATGTTGGCTGATTTTGATAGTCACAGTATGTATGTTTTTGTTAAAAACCATTTAAACTGTAGTTACAATATTTTCTGGTGTAAAAGTAAATTTGTTTTTTTTTTTTAATTTTTATTTGATATTTTTTAAATAAGCGTCAAGATGTTTTAAATCATGTCAGCAAATTAATTTATTTCTTTTAAGTCAATTCATTTTTTTTAAAATCATTTATTCAAATCAGCTTAAATAAAATTCTATTGATTTAAAAAAAATCATGTATCCAAGTAGTAAATATTTTCCTAAAGTTTAATTTCATTGATATTAAAAATTTTATGTTGCTCAATAATGCTTAAAGTATTGTTTGATGTTTAAAATAAACTAATTAATAAAAAAAGTAACAAGTGAAGATAAATGTGCCTAATTGAAAACTTATTAAATATTTAGTTTGTATACATATACAATCATCTACACTTGCTCTGGCAAGGGTAATTTAGAATAATTTATTTATGTTTCCTTATTTAAAATAATTTATTTTTAATTTGAAATTTAATTGATAAATTGAGTCTTTGTGTTCACAAATTTATAAGAGTGTTGAGCTGTAATAGCTACAATTGTTTTTTATTCAGTGATTAATTTGTAATGAAATAATTATTTTAGTAAAAAATATTAAGTATTTAAGTAATAATGCAATTTTACATAATAATGAGCATAACTTGTACAATTTATCAGAGATTTAATTAATAAATGTGAAGAAAAATTTTTTTTTCATTTAAATCAAAAAAATATGATTTAGAGAAGAAAAAATCCAACTTTTTAAAACCATTTACAAATATAAATATATATGATGAACCATGTTTCAAATATAATTTTTGTGTTTCTCCTTAGGTTGTACCCTTGTTGAAGCCCTAGAATGTGCCACTCTGCATCCCTCTCAAGTACTTGGTATTACTTCAAAGAAGGGTACCCTTGATTTTGATACTGAAGCTGATTTTGTACTCTTAGATGAACAATTGAATGTTCAAACAACCTATATAGCTGGTGAGAAAGTATGGGGAAAAGATTTTCTTACAAAATAAGATTTGTAAAGGAATATATATATACAGTGGAATCCCAGTTTTAAATTGTTCATATTGTATGTTATCTTGCTTCCTGCGTCATTTTCTGTTGGTTCGTGGAAATTGCCGATACTGTTAATGTTATTATTCCTGATCTTACGTTACCCCTTTAAAAAAATTCCCATTTTATTCATTAAGATCAAAATTATACTAATCTCGCACTAACTTTTTACAATTTCTTTCTTTTTTTTTTCTTCTTTAAAAAGTGTCTGTGAAAAGGCACTTCCTCTTTGAGTACCAAAAATCTGGGATGAGAGCTTAAATTGAAAAACTTTCGAGTGGAATTTTTTTACAATCCAGTCATTTAAAGAATGTTACACTAAACATCAGTTTAGTTAATAATTTCTTTTTCTTGTTTCTTGTAACCTTCAAAGTGTTATTAAAACAAAATTAAATGATCTGTAAGCTGTGAATTTGATTTCTGCAAAATTGGACAGTGTCGACTAAAGTGGGTTACAAATTGATTTAATAAAGCAGGCTCCTCCATATCCAATGGGAATATAAGCCCTTGCGAGTAAAGTTTGGTGGCCGAAGATCTTTCGAAATCGATAATGCATGTATTAACTGCAACACACATTCCATTACTTTTTAATTCTTTCAGTGTCTGATTTAATGCCTTCTCTAAATGATAGCGAGGAAAATGACAAAGATGAGTAAAAAATATTGAAGAATATACCCAAAATTGATCAAGAGTTCCAAAGCATAAAAATTCTGAAATGATATTATTTGCTACTCCCACAAAACTGATAACAATATTTATTTATTTTTGAAAAGCAAATTTGCGAACCATAGTAAGTACTGTTTAAGATATTGTCAAAATAATATCTATACACGATAAACAAGTAAATTTTTAAAAAAAAATTCTACTAATTCATATTGTAATTATAAAATTTTTAAAAATATGCTTTTATGTTTTTTGGCGACTTAACATTGTTCCGCTTCGTGCATTTTTTAATGCTAGTCCAGCTGAAAACTTAAAATTGGGAGTTCCATTGTGTGCATATATATATTTCAGATTTAGCTTATATTGTGTGTATAGGGCAAAATAAGAAAATATTGTTACCGGCCAGTGGCTATTTTTAACTTTTTGATTGTTGCCACTTTTTTAAACAATTAAAAATTCTATAATTAATTTTAAGAAATTAAATTATTGAAAAAAACATGTTAATTTTACTAGTGCAACACATTTATTTTGAAGCATTTCTCAAAATTTGAGAAGCACTACAAAGTACAAAATTAAGAAAAATTTGTTCCAAATAGATTTATGTGAAATTAAGTTCTTACACATAACATTTTTAACTGCCAAAATTTGGGTATTGAGTTTTTGAGCCAATAATGCAACATAAAATTTATGTTTATGAACAAAAAATAAGACTTACCCCTTGCAAAATAAATTTGAAATAATTGTAATCATAATGTTGAAATCATATTCATTGGATTACTTTTGAATATTTTGAAGAAGAAAAAATATTTTAAAGTTAACTTTATTTCAAATGAAGCCATTGATAACCCAATTCAGTCCCCCTTAAATTTTAAATCAGTCTTAAATAACCTGAATCTTCCGGAGATAATTACAGATTTCTCAAGTAATAAATAACATGAGAAGTTGATAGCACATGTTATTGAGCACACATGGTGCATTTTTGGCAAGAAAGTGGCAACTAACTAATAAATTATTTATCAAGAAAAAAATTTTGAGTTGCTCTGTGTCTGGTGTTGACCTTTAATTTTGCCCAGCATTATATTTAATTCCCTACATTTCATTATTATGTTGATATAACTGTGCCAAATTTTAACGCATTTGTATTATTGAATTATAAATACATAAAATTATGTATGATTGTTTGAAAAACATTTTGTTCACTAATGTTCTTGGCCAGTAACCGCCTTATTGTAAAGTACATAACAAAATTAGAACTTACTATGCTATGAAATATTTGTGAAGTTTTTGATGATTTTAACTTTAAAAAAATAAGAAAAATGCAACTTTTTATTTCTATATAGATTTAGCTATATTTGAAGTAATGTGGTTTTATGAAGTTGAAAATTGTGAAATTTAGTAGTAGAAATGTTATGTCAATCACCTTTTAACATTTAGAACTTATTTTTTTGCAAAGTAAAAATAAAGTTATTTATACAATTTTATATAATGACTATCTCCATTTTAACTTTTAATCCAATGAACATTAAAAACTTAAATTCTCATGTTAATATTATGATAAAAAATTAGCTTCATATATACATTAGAAGAAAAAAAAATTCTAAATTTTCAGTTAATGATAAATAGAAAATATGCCATGCAAACATTTAGGAAGTATGATTTACGTAAGAAATAAACTTCATCGACACAGTATAATGCCATTATTATTTGCCATTACATTTCTGACTTGTGAGAATTATAGATTAAATTTTGAAAAACAAAAATATACTTTTATTAATTTTGTCAGCTGTATTTTTGTGTGTGTGTATGTTTGTTGCAGATTTATAAAATTCAAATTAAATAAATTTATTTGTTTCTGTAACTTAATGTTCTTGGATATATAGTATTCACTAATATTTAAAAATGTTTTGCTCACTTTTATATATTGTGGATTACTTTTGACTCTAATATTGATTGTTATTATACATATATATTTTATTCATTTCAAAGCAGTATAAGCAATATACATTCATGAACTTTAAGTTATTTTGTTTTGTAATTAGATAAGAAATACAATTTTAAACGTAACTATATTTCTAAATTTTATACAATAAAGATATATTTTGTGATGAATATAGTTATTTTGCTTATAGTACATTGTTATTTTTCTTACATAATTAAATGACATATTTAACATTAGTTTAATTGATGATATTTTTTGGAAATTTACTGAGGGTTAACAATACTAATTAAAGTGTTGAACTGGTTAAATAGAGTTATTAACGATTCTGTTTGTAACAAGGCACATATATTTCACTTATCAATAATTTCTTGCAAAAAAAGAGGGGGGGGAATTAAAAAATCTGAGAAACTGATTTAATCCAAAATTATTTTAAAATAATCCTACTTACTCCCCTTTTTTTCTCAATCAAGTTTCTAAACTTAAAGATACTTTAAATCAGGGTTCACCCAGCCCAAAATCCACGATTCATACATTACAAATTTACAAATCAAAGTTTTTATTCTAAAACAAAATAATCGAAAATTAAAATCATTTCTGAAAAAAAAACTAACTTCCAAGCAATTGAATATAAGTTAACTTGATACATAAATTAAAATGCATTCAACTTGATTTTGAGAGCAATGCTTATATGTACCTTTAATTAGGATAGAAAAGCGATGTATCTGTTCTTATGAAGAACAAGAGATTGGTGCTCCTCAAGTTTTATGAACATTTTTTAATTTATATATATTATTATTATGTTTTTACTAATCAAATTTTCATTACAAGTGCTTAAATTTTGAAATGTTATAAATTTTGCATTTAGTGAATACATAGGCAGATTGCAGTGATTTAAATTAAATATACTGCATTTATAAAAAAAAATAATCAGTTTATAGGAAATGAAATTAACGTTATTTTCTTAAGAAAACTCTAAGATATAATTTTTAAGTTTAATATATTATTATAAACTATATGAAACTAAGTAGTATTCAATATTTTATGATTGTGATAAAATTGAATTAAGTTTTTTTTTCTTTTTCCTTAGTGTAATGCTATTTAAATTCATTGTAATGAATATTTTTATAAAAAAAGTTTTAGAGTATAAAAAATGCAATTCTGCTTAAGAAAATTTAAAATTTTTGAGCCAAGTTGTTTCGTATGTTAGCAATTTAAAGGTACAACAAATAAATGTTTTGTTGTTCAATGTTGTTAGCACATCACTATTGACCAGAAAATTATTATTAGATATTATTCCTTAATTAACAAATATCTAGATTACTTTAATTGTCATCAGCATAAAATTATTGCACAATATATAGATATTTTTTAACTATAAATTATTTCTTTATTTGAAGGTATTTACTTGAAATATTTACAGGGTGCGTAGCGTTTTTAAAAAGTGCTTAAAGGTGCTTATTTTTGATTTTTGTTTTTTAATATCTCTTAAAGGTTCTTTTTTCATTTGGTTTTTTTAAAAAGTGCTTAATTTTCCCTTTTCCAAATTGAGATTTTTCCTTTACCATGTAGATTTTCGCTACGAATTATGCAGAAAGACACTGTTCACATTGTTCTATTCAACGTTTTTACAATTTATTCAACCCCAATCTATTTTGGCGCATCGTCCGTCCGTAGCGTATGAAAACGCCATTCGATTTACATGATTCAAAAATTTTGGCAATTGTCAAAAACAATGCCAAATGTTTTTTTGTTTTTTTTGACAATAAGGTTAAAACCGTCAATTTTCCAAAACTTTCCAACCCTGCCTAATTATGATATTTTTAAAGTTCTTAAAAATATTATTTGTGCGCTTGAAAAGTGCTTATTTTTTGTTGAATAATTTTGCTACGCACCCTGATTTATTATCCTTTTCTTAATATTGTTCTCTACTATATTATCCCAATTTAAAGACCATCAAAGTAACAGTGGTCTTTTATTATGAAGTAACCTGTATTATATAACACACCAGCAGACTCTCAGTAACAGAGAAGGCTCTTTCAGGAAAACAAATAACTAAACGATACATATTGTTGAATTGTAGGTATCCTTGGTGTTGTATTCCAAGTTAGAAACATGATAACTTAATATATATATTTAATAAACCAACAAAACGTAACAATTAACATGCTAGCAGCCAGTCACGAAGATTAGCGAATGAACATCTATTAGCAGGGCTGATTGTGGTCCAGAAAAAAATCTGGATTTCCGGAATTTTCGCTAACAGTGATCCAGAAGTTTCCGGAGATCGATGGTCCAGACATTTAAAGAAATCATTGATCACAGAAGTTTCCGGAAATCAAATTTTCAAAGGTGGAACTTAAAAACACAGTTTATTTTATTTGTTTGTAAGGGCGAGCTGGAAAGATACTTTATAAGCTTATATTCATGATTAATATTCATTTTTTATCAGTAAATAGTTGTTATAATCGTGAACTCAAGAAAGAAAGACATACAGTGCACTCCCGATTATCCGGGTTAATCACCGGGACAGGTCGCACGGACAATCGAAAAACACGGATAATCCGAAAACTTCTTTAATTAAAGAAAAAATCAATATCAGTACAAAAAATATAAAAATTACTGACATCTGCATGCTGTATAACATCAAACTAGGAATTTTCCATATAAAAAAATGTGTAATGCGTCTTCGTCATATATCGATACACATGTTTTACGAACCGCAGTAATGTCACCGTAATCAAATCCTCCCATATAATCTAATAAAATTTCCACAGAGCAGCAGAATGAGAAATTGTATTTCCCTCATTTTCTGCATCAGTTACTATCATCACTATTTGATTTAACAACATAACGATGTCTTCATCTGTCAAATACTGGAAGTCAAGCTCACATGCATCACTTTGAAAAAAATCTGCAAAATTTTCTTCGTCAAGAATTTCGAAACCTCAGATTTCTTTTGCTTGTTCGAGAATACTGCAATCATATTTTTCTTGAACATCTGAAGAGGATAGTTCATCAAGCGATATGATCTTTCTCCAAGATCGTGATAAAGTGGACGATTTTACCCTTGACCATGCTGCTGATATTCCATATACTTCAATCCAATAACGAATATTGCTTCCAAAAATTTGGTAGTGTTACAACATCATGAATAAAAATTTTTTAATCTTGAAAATGTTTCTCTTTATATTTTTCATGTGACTCCGGAATGAGCACGGATAATCGAGAGTGTACTGTATTTGTAAATTTTAATTTCTTCTCCAGGTCATCATAGGTATGTGTAAATGGTATAGGTATGTGTAAAATTTTAAATCTATTTTAAGTAAACTAAGAAATATTGAGAAAAAGGAAGAGAAAAAACCTTGTTTAAATTTTTTTTTCAATTTAAACAGTTTTTTTTTTTTTAACTCGAGAAATTTTCCGGAATTTTGACTTGGGCTCACAATTACCCCTGTATTAGTCACGTGCTTATATACTCTCTGGAAAGGTAAGACAGCGCCGCTGTTCAGAAACTACAGGCTGTCGTCATTGACTCGTAGTAATGACGGAAGGTGACGTCGGCTGACATCACAACGCATCACAGTCGATCGTTCCACATCAGGTACATAGACAAACATATTAGGCTTTCTGACAGACCATCACGTGGAGTAGCATTCTCGTAGAAACAGTCTCAGCTTGCATAGAAATAATGTGGCAGAAGATGACCCATAGTTTGTCTATGTAAAGAACTCCCCATGTCATTCGTCTGGAGAGGTGGCGATTACGAGGTTTAACTATTTGAAGTAGGGTATTTGGGTCATTATTTATGGCAAGATTTGGGTCGGCGAGAGAAAAGGAGTCAGGGGAGCCTTAGACTTCGTGGCGAGGGGTGTTCTTTCTATAGACAAACTATAAATGAACAAGTGCGTAAATAAGTAAGTAGTGAGTCGGCAATGACCACCTGTTTGCATTTATTCAATGAACCTATTTACATGAACTGTATGCCAACAGCTAATTGCTTAACATCCATATTATATAAAACGCTAATACGTATGTATCAATAAAACCGATGATATTTCTTTTCTCGCGTTGGCAACAGTTTTCATTTTTCATTGATAGGCTTCGGCGAGCAAGAGCACGTAGTGAGCATCATATGTCTAATCGGGTGAATTCTCACCGAATTATCAAAAAAATTCTCACAAAATTATCTTCATCGTTTTACACATGGTTTTAGCCCTCTGGTGGGAAAGACTTTAAAACAAAACTTACAACAGTTACTTTTCTCAACAACTGAAATTTAGAATAGTGTGATTAAGAAAAATATGTGAACTGTTTGGTATTTTAAATTAATATTGAAATGCACAGGTTTAGAATTTTCTACAGTGAAAAGTTTTCGGAACTTCAGTGCTCAAAAAAGTATACAAAAGCTAGACGTTATAAGAACGTATCCAATGAGCGAGCAAAGCCAGCATCGGATTGCGAAGCAATCCGAAATGAACTGCGAAAGCAGTTCCGGGGGTCGGCGAGTGCCAGGGAGCAGGGGGCGAAGCCTCCTAGTTTACTATTAAAATATTAAAGAAAGTTACTTAAATATCCTACTCACTGTAGTTATTGTAGAGAAATATTTGGTAATGCCTTACTGTTGACGCTCATTGTGACCACACAGCCTCCAACAGGGTTTCCACGGTACCTGTAAAACTTTAGAAGTCTTTGAATTTTGTTGGAAAAATTTAGGGCCCCAAAAAGTTCTTAAATTCTGTGATAGGGCCCTGGGAAAGTTTTTGATTTTCTCAGAATAATTTTTGAAATAATAACTGAAACTCGAGCATGTGATTTCTCGTTTTCTTTCTTTCCTTTTTTTTTTTTTGAAAAAAAGAAGAAGAAAAACCTATCTTAATTTGTAATCCTGTGATAGGATTACAATATAAAGGAAGGGTGTGGAGAAACCAACAGTGAAAAGGAAATATTGAACAAAACAATACCTAGCATTAGCCATTTTTAACCATGTTTATAGAATGCACTAATTTTTAAAACACGTACGATTTCTTAAACTTTATTTTATTTGGTTATGTGTGAAAATAAAAAGGTTCTATTTATATTCGAAGAGAATGGAAAGTGCTTATCAAAATTACGATATTTTTTTTTTTTTTAATACCGAAAATCTGGTAATTTCTGATTATGCATTTTATAATGCTATCAAATTTGAAATCTTAAAGAAATTTCAACTCAAACATTTTTGAAAAGCTCCAATGAGTAAGCAAACATAAGATATATACATTTTTTTTTCTTCCACGTTTTTTTCTCTCTAGATTATCGTTCACCTTGTTAAGAAAATCTGAATCTCTAGCAAATAATTATCACTTTTGTGCATAGTCTTAGTTACCGTTCGATATACAGTATTTCTTCAAATTTTAAATATAATCGTCGTTAATTTTCTGATTATGACGGATAAATGTTATTAATACTTAACCTATTCATTTTTTTTAATAAGGATCAATAGTTTTTTAACAATTAGGTACTAGGATTTTTAACATTTGTATATACGCGATTTAAAAATAACGCATCGTGAATCGTATTCACAAAATTGAAAAAATCAACCTTTGCTATTTATGATCTATTCTACAGAAAAAAAAGTTGTTAAATCTTAATTTGTTATCTGCAAAATATCGTACTACAAAAGATTTTATTATGTTCAAAATACATTTTACATATTCTGAAGTAACAAAAAAAAATATATGTTTTCGAAATTGATATAGATATGCTAAATATTATTTCTCAATTAATTCTAATAGGCTTCATTAAATTGTTCCTGAAACGTTTTACTGGTGCCAGTTTTTAGAAGCTTGCAAGTATGCCTAGGTTAATTGGAAATTTTTCTATAATCTTAAAAGCTGATTTAAACAACAATGTAACTATCAAACCATCGCTGTGGACTACTCGTATTAAAAAAAATGCTTGAACTATTAATCAATGTAATAAAATCTGGTTAACAATGTTCTTTCAACATATTAATTATTACTCAGTAGATCCTTGACAAATTTGATTTTAGGTCCCTTAATTTTTTTTTTTCTTTTCAAATTGATTGGGAACCCTGGGCTTTGCACAACCACCAGAAGAGGCATTAGCAACCTCTACTGTAAAAAATAATTAGGTTTAAATTTGATTCCAATGAACTCTGGAACTAAACCTTTGTTTTCGCAATAAAAAATTTTTAAATCTTATAATTGAGTTATCTTAAATTTTTATGTAAGAATCTGTCGTCAAGAAGTAAAAATAATAGCCTATCAATCTAAAACCTCCAGAGAAAAAAAAGAATTGTTACATTGGAACAAAACGAGTTATTAATAGTTTCCAAATATTTAAATTTCAAGTTAGGAGTAAGTTCTTCAATCTTATTAAAGACTCAAAAAAAAAAAAAAAAAAAAAAAAAAAAAAAAAAAAAAAAAAAAAAAAAAAAAAAAAAAAAAAAAAAAANTTTTTTAAAAAAAAATTGTTTTTTTCAAACCTTGAAACAGGCTTTATACTTTTTTCTTATTCAGTACCAATGTAAGATTTATACTAATTTGATAAATATGCTTTCTTAAAAAAATATTTTAGCAATTTTTTTTTTAAATATGGAGAAAATGAGTTATATAAATAGACATAGTAAAAATTTCTTAAAAAAATATTTTTATTGAAATATTACAAACAAATATCAAAACAATCGTAAAAAAAAATTATGTATAATATGATTGTGATAATAACAGAATATATGATGATGATGTAAAATTCTTTGCTTATATGGTGATTGTTATAAGATGAGTTAAAATTCTTTGCTTATGACATGGAAATAAAAACTAATAGTAATTCATTCATAGATAACATAATATAAAACATTAATCATTGATTTAAAATGTATTTCTCAATCTCATCGACATCGTGCGCAATATCTTTTTGATCCACTAAATTACCATGGTCACACGTCACTTCAGAGTTAGTTATAAGCAATGCATTCCAGCCAGCAGCTTTCGCCGCCAAGTAATCTAATTTAACATTATCGCCCACGTGAATGGCGTCTGACGATTCAACACCGGGAATTTGATCGAGAGCCATATCGAAGATTTTCTTTTCAGGTTTGGCAGTCTGTACGACGTATGATGCAAGAATAAAACTAAAATAGGATTTCAAACCAGTTGAAGATAGGACACACTCTAGACGCTCATCAAAGTTTGAGATGACACCCAGAATCGCATCACTTTTATTTAGGTTCTCCAATAACTTTGCAGCACCAGGCAACACTTTCCAGCACGTTTCAGTCTTGTAAATTTCATACAAGTGACCAGAAATCGAATCCAATTGCTCGTGCGTTATTTGGCAGTTTTCGGCGTAAAACACCCTCCTCACCATTTCTTTCCACCAGAACTGTGACGTCAGTCCGGTACTTCGTCCGTAATTTGGATGATCTGAGTTCATGACCTTCCAATTGTGCAGAAAAGCGGCCGTTAACAGTTTTGGATCTCTTTCGACTCCGTAAATACGACCTATTTTTGCATATTGTTCACCCACTGGAAGCTGAAATTTGAGTAGAGTGTTGGTGATATCAAATGTGCAGAGCTTGAAATGAGAACGCATGATAGAAACCTGCCAATTAAAATGAGAAGAACACATTGTATCATTTCAGCATTTCTTTTTAATAGCAAGTCAGATAAATAAAAATAAATATGGATTAAATAATTAAAACTCTATTAGGTGTAGTTGGAATATAATGAATTGATCATTAAGTAAAACATTTACTCAGTTTACCACTCCTTAAGTACCAGTGGCATAGCTTTAATATAGGTTCGAGGGGGGTTATTGGTTATCTCCCTCTGTTGTTGTCGTCGTCGTCGATCATTGAGACAGATGGGGTACGATTCCTCTTTTTTTTCATGTGGCGCCATCTATGGCCAAGAATTCGACTTCTGTCACACTCGTTTATAGGGTGGACCCATTCATACATCCACAGATTGTAATTTTGACCTCAACCAGAGAATGATCCATCTCCAATGAAGTACCCCAAGAGGTATAATTTGTTATGGGAACATAGAGGACTTTGTGACCCGTTAGATTTAGCGTGCACCAGTCACCATTTACTACAGGGGGAATTTTTGGCTGGCTGGATTCGAATTTTCGTTCTCACGAGCGTGAGTCCTGCCAACCAGGATATCCCGGTCCTATCTCCTAATATATATATATATTGTAAACGTTTAAATTACAAAAAATTAGATTTTTTATGTCCATATCCTAGTTACAAGATAATAATCAAGTAATATATATAATTTCGGAGAGGGTTTTGCCCCCAAACTCTCCCCAAAACTACACCACCCCTAAAGAATCTTGATGATATAGTATTCAATTCCCATATCAATTTAGAGAGGAAAAATGTGTTAAATAATTTTTTTTATGAAATTGATAATTCAAGAATCTTAAATATTATATTGATATTTCATAAATTTAAAAATTGTGTATGAAGCAGTATAAACAAAAAAAGTAGCATGAAAAAATTAGTGATTAACTTTAAACGCATTTTACTTGAATGAAACTTTTTTGAATTAGTGGGACCTAATAAATGCTAACAGTAACCTTTTTTTTTTAACAAAAAAAGAACAAATCACATAAGCGGTCGTTGATAAACAAATAATTTTTTTTAAATCATTGATACATTTTTATGGTTTAAGTCTAAATTTTTGAATGTTTATTTTGAATGCATAATTTGAATGTTTTGTTCAAAGTGCAAAAATTTTGTTGTTTAGTTTATCAATAACATTATTTCATAAACAAAAAGGTTTTTTTGTTTTTGATTTTCAATGATCACACATTCACAGATTACACATTTAGGAAGATGTTCACATTACCTGGTGTTTACAAGATGTTAGTGATCAAATATTTTTTCAATCATTTAACAAGAAAGTATAATTTCAATTACTTAATTCTGAAAAATTATTTAATTAATAATTTTCTGGCTGTTACACGCATATCCTCCTTAAATGATTGGATAACCATAGGCTTATGGAATAAATCTTTGTCTCTTTTAGAAAATTTTGAAAGGTTTAAATTCAGAAAATATTAAAAGGATCTAGGCAACCAATTCTTGTTACCGCAACAAAAAACAGGGTACAGTGATCTAATCTTTTGACTATCTTTGCATCAAAAAGGGAAAAATTAACCTGATATGTACCTTTTTTCATACACAATTACTATATATCTACTTCATGCATTACTTTATACTTCATCTACACAGTTACTATAAAATCTACTTTTTAGAAGAAAAAACTAAATAGCTCTCTTATTTCAAGATAGTCAGACTTAAAAATTCGAATATCTCTACTCAGTTGTTAGTATTATTATTTAAGTTTGGCAACAATCAAATATAAAATTTCAAACAGAAGTAATTTTAATGATAATTGGGTGAAAAGTGAAATTTAGCTAATTTTTCAGAATAGGGCTTTATAAGTATGATTCACATTTCTTGACTTAATAAATATGGACAATTTTTGATTTAATACCACATTTTGTAACATAAATCATAAGTTTCACAATCTTTCTTAAAAATAATTTTATAATGTAATCTGATTATCTATATGCATATTGTTTTTAACAAAACACAACACTGATCTTAGAAAATTAGAGAATTTTTTTTAAAAAATCGATGCTAGATAAAATAAGTGTTTTGCTTCTCATCATTGGGAGCAAATTTGACAAACAATAATTACTTCGTGTAACACTGGACAATATTGGATGTCCTAAATAATGCAACAAATCAATAAAATACTTAAAATGAAAGGTCGAATAATTCAAAATAATTTACAAAAATGCTAAATTATTATGAAAAAAAAGTTTTTTACCATTACCTTCAAAATAAAATTAAGCTTCAAACGAATTCTTCTTCTGATTTTATTTTCAACTCCATTTCATCACTTCACACATAAGTATTTTAATTACTTAACTAACGATTGACATTGAGAGAAAAATAAAATATTTATTGAAGATAAACACTTTAGATAAGATCTCATTCTGTGCATCTTGATGTTTTGCAATTTTGTTTATAATTTCTCTTCTTGTAATGTTGGCTTGTCTGGGTCAAAGTTGAGGAATTGTTTGTTTATTTATATATCGGTAGGTGTTATGAAGTCAGCTGAGAGTTAATAGCTTCTGACTACTTCTTTTTGCATCAAAATAGCAAGATGGGTAAATGAATAAATAAAGTAAAAGCAATAAACTCAAATTATTGATGAATATTTTAATCTCTAAAAGCATATTTTAATTTAAAAATATTTGTTTTTTCAAAATATATCTTTTAAATGACATTTTTAAGAGAACTCAAATTGTATGTGCACGCTTTAAACTCGAAGAAATTTAGCGGAAGAATAAATTAAGCATAATTTGAAGTGAAGTAATCAAATTAATTTGTTTGACTTTTAAGGATCATAGGAAAAAAAGATACAATTAGGATATACACCTCATTGAGTATGCACACAATTCTTTCTGTTTCTTATGATTTTTTAAATGATGATTATGGGCCTATTATTTCAGTTAGAAAGTTTTACTTTTATTTTAAATGACATGTATTTAGAAATCAATACGTCATACAAATTATCTGTTGCATTGTTCCTCCCCTTCTTAAAAAGAAAATCCTGTACCGCAAAATTGTAGCATTATTAATTGTAATATTATACATAAATTAATAATACAGAAACGAAGTAAAGTGTTAAATAAAAACTTAGCATTTAACATACATTATAACTTTAATTTATAATATTTACTTTAATTTTCGTTATAATTTGCTTCAAAGATGCGCTAGAAGTTCTGTTTATAATTAAGATTAGATAATTTAGTGAATTTTGTAGTACATAAATGTTTGTCAGAAGCAGTTTTGTAAATTATGTATTTTGATTGCAACAACAATGAAAATATTTGAAAGGAAATGTTTAAATGCACTTCTTTCATTCTTTTCTCATGAAAACTCTGATTTGCAATAATATGCTTATTTAGCTGTTAATTTTATAAAAGCTTATCTATTGTAATTCAGATATAATAAATGAAAAAAGTTTTCATGAGTAATTTTTCAATGTCTTCCAATAAACTGAAAGTTAATAAAGATTGGCAATTTTTTTTTCTTCAAAATATACTGAAATCACTTAGTTCAATCTTCCAAAGAATTTATATTTTAAATTTTTAACTGAAAAAGCTAACATTACTTTTAATTTCTAGGTGATAGGTTAAGTGGTACCTTTGTTGATTACTCAAAAGTCTGACAGCAAATGTAAAACAATTTTTGCAACAAAGCAAAAAAAATTAAAGTGTACTTTGAATTCAATTTTGATACATTAAAAGCAAAAAACATTTGCAAAATTATATCTCTTTCAAAAGTTGCCTAAACTGAGCACGTTAATATGATATTTTGTATTGCCCTTTTTAAGCAAGATTTGTTTTTTTAAACCAGTTTTGATATAAACCAAACTATTTATTTATGTTTTATTATATATATCTGTAATGGAAGAAAAAAAAATTTATTATAAAATTTAAAAGCACTTTTGACTTTTATACAACTTTGTTCAAAGTTTTTATTGATTTTTACAGCCTTAAAATTTATTGTTATGTATTACTGCATTTAATTTGTAACTTTAACTTAGTAAAAATACGTATGTACTTTTTGTGTATTACAGCATTAGTTACAGTATTTAAAAACTTAATTTTTTTTTATTTTATTTTTCATATTGTAAACTGAGTACAATCTGAAGATTTAATGTTGTTACATTTATGTATACAGACTTATATAAAATTAAAAACTTAATGTGAACATAAAATCTCTGTTGAAGAACTTTGTGCTAGCAGTTTTGCTAAAATTTGCTTAAAAATCATTGATTTTTTTTTTTTAAAGAATGTTTCAATGTTTACAAGATTCAATTTTGATTCATACCACAGGGATGAGTTTGGTAAAAAAACCAAGAATGCTGAAAATAGAAATCCAAAAATTTAATGTGTCAAAAAATACCTAAAATTTGAGCAAGAAAAAAGTAAAGTGTATGTAGAAGGATTTATTCTAAAAATTTTATTAACATATATATAAATATGGAGGCAAGATTATATATATTTATTTCAATTGTGTAAATGTGAATATCAATGTGTGATTTTTAAATCACACAAATACAAATCTAAATATATTTAATTTTAAAATGTTGTAAATATAAATGTTGATGTTTAATTTTAAAATTATGTGAATAGAAATTCAAATGTATAATTTTTAAGTCATTTGAACACGAATTACCTATAATAGTGGGTTTAAAATCATGCGAATAGGAATTGCAATATTTCATATAAAGTAGGAATGTAACGAATAGTGATTTGGCTGAATAGCAAAATTTTAAAAAAAAATCATTAATAAATATTTTTTATACATACATAAATTAAGTCATTGATAAAAATTAATTAAAACTTAGCTATATTATTGGTATGAGGTAAAGAGGGAAAAAACTATAATAGTTATCCATTAGAAATATTTAAGATAAATAAACTAATAGCTATGAAAAATGAAGTTGTAAAGTTGAGAAAAAAGGAAATGAGAAATTGAAAAAAAAATCTTCTTAGTTCATAAAATAGAACTTTAATACAAAAAATATTTTTTTGAAAAGGAAGTATCCCTAAAACGGTAATTTTGTCAATCAGAAACTTTTTTAAAAATTACGCACTATCAGAATAGCACCCATAAAAACAAAAAATTATGTGTAGAAGCAAAACAAAAAATAAACATTAATCTTCATTTTCGAAAAATTTTTTTAAGGCTGAACATTTGTTTACCAATTTCTGTATTTTCATTCTTAAACAAAAAATTTAATGCTAAAAATCTCGAGCTAATTTTTTTACATTGCCGTATTTTGTTTTTACAAAAAAAGTGACAATAAAAAATAACGTTCATTAGAAACGCTCTTTAAAAAATGCTTTATTAAAATAAAAGCACCGATAAAAAGGAAAGCTAATAGAAAAAAGCAAGAAATTTTTTTTTCTTACTTCAAATATTAATTACACATTGAAAATTGCAGTTTTCTATGTTACTGGTTTTTACCATACAAAGAAAAATAGGGGGGGGGCAATGAAACCTATCAGAAACACTCTGATAAAATGCTGCATTATAGTAGAAACAGAAAAGCAGCAAAATTGAAACAAACAAAAAACCTTCTCAATCATTATAACAAAAGGTTTTGAAATGGTAGACTAAATTAACTGGAATGAATATATTTGAAGCAAAAATTCATGGTTCAGCTTAAAGTAATCAAGTTTCAAATTTATTTTTTCCACATTTCTTTCAGAACATAAATTTATTAGCAAACTGTGTGCAAATTTTAGAATTTAACAAAAATGTGTAAAAGCTATTTCTTATGTATAGTAAAAAAGCAGGATTTTTTATTATTCTATATTAAATTTATTCAAATTCTAAAAAAAAGGGGGAAAAAACTTGGTTGAAAAATATTTTGCCCAATATTTGGCTCAACATTCGGCCGACTGCATCTTCAGCAAAAGGGCTGATAAGGCCGAATACCAAATAGTGGCCAAATATTTCATTGCATTCCTATTATAAAATGGTGAAAATAAAGAACACAGTGTGCAGTCTTAAATCGCGTAAATACAAATTTGCTATGTGTGGCTTTAAATCATGTGAATGTAATTTTAAATTGCATTTGCCTAATTAGGGAAGAATGTTTGAACAAATATCTTTTTTATTTGGGGGGGGGGGGGGNTTGACAAAGATGAGATTTCTTTGAAAAGGCTGAGTTTTCTTTTTTTAATTAATTGAAAAAAGTGGAAAAAAACTAATCCTTGAAAATCTAATGCAATGACGTAATCATGGGAAAAGTACATCTGCATGAAGTAGGGGGGAAAAATTCATACATCAATCTCAGCCAGATTGACCTGCATGTTAGGATAAGGAAATTATTACCACTTTTCTTTTTTAGTAATTCTTAAAACACACGTTCATGTATATTATACATTACATATCTGTATATATATACATGTGTATAAAAAGTAATTATCAAAAAAGATTTTCTAGCAAAAAGCATCATTGCAGTAAAATTTTACCAATTCCTAGTTGAAAAATACTATTTTCAAAACCACATTTTATTTTAATATTGCTAATATATATCTGAATCTTTAAGTATATACAGTATTAAATAGAAATCATCCTAATATCACATAAAAAAGCTGTTTAAAGACAAATTTAGATTGCCTTTTCCTCAGGTGTTATTTGTAATTACTATTAGTCAAATTGCAGTTTTGATAAGGTATAACACAATTGATTTTGTGTTTTTTTATTTTTTCCAGTTTTTTAGTAATTAATAAAAATATATTTTTCTGCTTTCAATAAATTTTAATCATACATTTGTTATTTTTATGTACTATTAATATGATATAATTTTAATATGGTACTATAGTTTGAAATGTATTGTTATGATTTATTTTTAATGATATTTCAACTATTTTTCTACGATTTATAATTTTTTTTCTTTAAGTACCTATTTTAAGCAAAATTTAATTTGATTTTTTTTTAAATTTTAAATAAATACATAAATACAATAATTATCATAAACCTGCTTTCAAGAGATTCCTAAATAAATGTTTGAAATTTTATTTTCAATGGATAAAAATGTCCAAGTTATGTTATTAATACCAAGTTATGGGTTTTGTATTATATCCAAGTCATATAGCTTAAATGCACATGGTTTTCAGTTAATAATTATTGTTTTTTTTTTTTTTCAGGCAATAAGTTTGAGATGTTAAAAGATTGTTGAAATTTCAGTTTATTTATCTGGTCATGTCTACTCCTTTAACTACTAAGAGGTAATATAATGTATTATAAATTAATGTTTGCTGTGTAAATGTGTGTCATTGGTTAAATTTATTAGTATATTTTCTTATACTTTCGCCAGTTGTTATTAGATATATTTCATTGCATATAAAATGTTTTATTTCTCAACATGTGAAAATAATCTAGTGAACAATAAGTATTTATTTCATATACACATCTCTAAATCTCATTTTCTCAACTTCAGTCACATTTCAATTATCCTTTTTATTAGTATATTATCTCCTTTATAAAAGTTATTTTTAAGTAGATTAATAATTTTATGGTTAAACTATAATTCACATTGTGTTAAAAGTTTTTTTTATTTATATTAAGACTAGAAATTTGACCCCAAACCCATTAACTGTAGTCTTTCAGCCCAATACATTAAAGCAGTAGGAAATAAAAGAGTTTAATACAATGCATTTGTCATTATGCTTAACATTCCTAAGTTGTCCAGATTCACTAAGACTGCTAACCGGAAAGTTCTTAAGACCAAATTTAAAAAGATGGACATTCAAGCTAGATAAAAAACCAAATAATGCTACAGGAAGAGGAAAATCTGAAACAGCGGGCTTTGACCTCATTGAGACCCTCCCAGGTCTTTCCCTTAGCTTTGTTTAAAAGATTAGTGGTAAACCTCCTCTTGAATTCAAATCTAATCGGGAGTTTTACTGTATTGAAAAATGTTTGATTGTAAGTTTTAATAGAGTAACAAATAAAAGTATCTTTCTGTGCTAAAAAAATCTGCGTTTTCATTTCCCTCTATATCACAACAAGCACTCGAGGTATTTGTGTTTAAATTCAAAATGTAAAAATAGTATAAAGAAATTTTTTTTTTATCCAAAGTGCGTCTTGGAGCTATGCTCTTATTTGCTTTTGTATATTATGATCTGGCATTGCACATTACAAGTGCAAAAGCAGGGCTGTATCTAGTGTTCTATAATAAGACTTCGGATGATTGTAAATGTTCTGCAGGCATTAATCAAATTAAAAATTTAAAAATTAAAAAAAACATTGACTCATCAAATTGTTTTTAGAAATAATTAAGATCAAAAAATAATCTGCTTTTGTTTTAAAGTAATTTTTAATTTCTGTCCTGTTGATAAAATTTAATTGGCATCCTTTAAAGATCTTTTAAGTGTTGATAATTTTTGTGGCATTTGTTACATATACCTTGGCTGCTTGGGGCACATATGAGCATGTATTTTAAAATTTATACTTAAGGGAATTCAATAAGTATTGTCAAACATTGTTGGGACCATGAGCTCAGATTTAATTACAAAATTCTCTCCACCCCTGTCAGATCAACTCGTTTCATTTTGCTTAGAAATGTATCCTGACCTGCTTTGCATCTTTTGATCAGCCCCATTCCCCTCTATTATATTCATTTCTCTATTTTTCCCACTTTTCTTTTCATTTTTTTGTTTTTTTTGTTTTTGTGTTTTTGTTAGCAGCTTCATGTTTGAATCTCATCATTCATCTCTGGTGGGTACTGAGAATAAGTGCATGAAAGCTTTTCAAAACTTTTTCCACCCTATATATATTTGTGAATCAAAGTTTTTCCATCGATGAATATAAATTATTATCCGCTAAAAAAATTAGAGAGAGAACTAATGACTTTAATTTGCAAACAGTCATATTCTACACCCCAGTTTGAGGTGTGTAGGAAATATATTATGAGATCTCACTGTTGCTAACCATAATTGCTGTTGCTTCAAAAATTTCCTTGCTGACACTTTGAACTCTCATACATTGTAGATTTTGAATGCTTTTTGCATTACGGCTGGCAAATGTCTTGGAAAAGTGGCTAGTTTCTCACTTGAGCTTTTTACTTGTTTATCAATTTTATTTTTTTCTGACTTAATTTACTTTATATTTAGAGAAGGCACGAGGTTGCGCAATTCCTGCCTTTTTTCTCTCATACTTCCTTAAACAAGCTATACTGAAAGCAGGGTACTTTGTTAAGCAAAAGATTTAATAATGTGGTGGAAAATTAGACACAAAGTTTTGCAAATCTTCGATGAACCCCTTGTTGTCTGAATATCCAGTTGGGGCTACTACTATGTGATGCCTGAACTGACTTCGGGTAGGAGAAAAATTAACGTTTCTATTTTGTGAAGCCCGAGCTGAGTTAATTTCTACTTAAGAATACTTAATTCACTATTTTTCCTAATAGATGGCATTAGTGGTCCTAATTTTTCACCTATTACAACTTCAGTCAAGGGAGGGAAATCTGAGTAACGGTTTTGGGATATACCATACTGTAAAATATTTGTAAAATTTATGTTATGAAAATCATATTGTTGTGTTTTTATATTATACTAGGAGGCTTCGCCCCCTGTTCGCTGGCGCTCGTCAACCCCCGGAACTGCTTTCGCAGTTCATTTCGGATTGCTTCGCAATCCAATGCTCGCTTTGCTCGCTCACTGGATACTTTCTTAGCGTCTAGCTTTTGTATACTTTTTTTAATATTGAAGTTCCGAAAACTTTTCACTGTAGAAAATTCTAAACCTGTACATTTCAATATTAATTGGGCATTTGGCGATACAACACTTATAGAATTGAAGGATTTGTTACGTCAAGCACTCAGTTATCATAATTTTGATCTAGTTGCGCTTCCATGTCATTTTGATTTATGTTGCTAAGTTAACTTTTGAGAAATTCTATGGCTGGCAACAGCAGTTTTATTTTTTAAGTTGTTTATTTTTATTTCCTTTAGAATTAGTTATTTTCTTAGCGAAATGTTTTTAAAACTAACAGAATTCTTTGCCGACTGTTCTCTGTATATATGAAGAAATTAAAGTAAATATTTAGATGTTGTGAAAAGAATCTTATTTAGTTGTACAAAGTACTTCTTTAAAAATGAAAACTGTTGCCACCGGCGGAGAAGAAATACAGCCAAAATTTGGAAGCCACGTAAGAGAATTATTTATAATAGATTATACTAGTAATATTATGTTTAATTTCAAAATTTTTAATTTTTGTTTAATTCAAAATTTTTTTTTAATTTGCTATAATTGAATAAGATGTGTGTGTAATCCATTACTTTTTTTATGTGTTTGTAAAAATTATAAAGACAGTAGTAATTGCATTTAAAATTTTATTTTTGCAATAAAAAACCATTTTCTAACTTTTATAATGAGATAGAGAACAAAATTAAACAATCAAAAAAGAAATTTCCATTTTTGGTCCATTGTTCTGAAATATATGTCACTGTTAAGGGGTTAATATTGAAAATATTTTACATACTTTTACCAAGATACCTAGAACTAAAATACATTCTGCATAAGCAGTTATTAATTATATATCGGGTTGTACAGCATCATTCTTCTAAATCAATTTACTAAATCAAACATTAAAACATAAAGAACTATGTAACCACTACAAAACATATCCCCACAAAGTGAAGTAAGTTGGAATCTGTAAAAGGTTTATCTCTTTAATCATCTGTTTTTAGGTTTATTTAATTCTGTCACTCTTTTTTTTCCATTCATGTAATAGATTCAATGCTAATTTTGTAGTGTAGGTCAAATTTCAACTTTTTATTTTTCACCTATCTTAAATTTTGAATAACCTATAGGTCGTTTAAAATATTTTGAATGTAAGTTACAAAAAAATGCTTTTTTCTTATCCTTTTTTCAGTATTCCCTATTCATTTATATAAAAAAGATTAGTATAAATTTTTGTGGTCAAGGCCATCAAATTTTATTAAAATCTAGGGAGCCTGTTTCTTTTAGTGAGTTAATGATTCTTTTTATTTTTTAGGCAACTCAAAAATACAAATACTGGAATAGATATTTCAGTTCCAGGATTTCAAGAGGAAAGTGCACCACTCGGAGGAGTTTCAATATTGTATGAAATTTCTGTTTTAACCACTCTAGAATTATTCAAAACATCATTACACAGTGAAGAAGATGTTGTCCATTTTTCAGTAATATTTTTGCTTCTCATTTTATTTATATACTGTAAATAGTTCATATAATCATTAAACAGAGATCTCTAAAAATAAAAAAGGGCAGGATGCTTTTTCAAAAGCAAAAGCACACTCAGTTTTGAAGGGCACTAATCTTGATAGTTGTATCAATTATATTTAGCTAGATTAGTGCCCTTCAAAATGGAATTCAAAATATTCAAATTATAAGAAATAATATTTTATGCATATTAACTTAGCCTAAAAATAATTTTCAGTAGTTATGGTTATCTGAAATTTCTGGTTTCTGCTACTGTAACATTTAACTAAACATTTTTACAAAAGGGGTACATTTAAGTCTGTAAAAGGGCAGTCAAAGTGGGCCACCTCTTGATGCACATACTTTTTTGTTTACCTTAATTAAAGCTTAGGTGTATCTATTGAAACAAAACTAAATATTTCAATTAATTCTGAAAACTTATTAAATTTTAAAAAAATGATTAAAGCAATTATGGTACGTGAAAGTTCTGGGATATAAAGCTGTTCTCTAAATTCTCTTATTTTGAGTTCAATTGCTTGAACATAAAATATGACAAATTCTTTAAGTTTAGTATTTTGAGTACATGTTCATTTTAGAAGCCGACTCAACAACTTTTGGGGTGAATAAACTATGCTTTTAATGCTGCACTTATATTTTTTTGGATTATAAACTGAAATTTGCAATAATTTTATACTTTTTGTTTTGTTTGTATTATTAGGAAATTTGTGAACTATTTTAATTATATCAAACGTTCTATTTTTAAAAATTATGATATGTTGATTAAAAAAACAATCCTGCATTTTGTATTGTTTGTAAAATCTGTGTGATTTTTATTTGGGCAAACTTAAATTGTTGTTACCTTCAAAACAAGACATAACTCCATTTTTACAGTTTTAAAATGCTAAAAATATGTTTTTTGTATCATAGAGCAGTGTACTCAACTCCTTATTATCTCAATCACATTTCTTTTTACCAGTAAAAACTGATAAACATTAAAAACTGCCATAATTGCTGCATTTGATGACAATAAAAATTCAACAATAATTTTTCTACTACAAACTCTTAATGAACTAATAAATTTTGTTATTTAAGCAGCATATATGATTTTATGTTGCTCAAATAGCAACCACCAATTTAAGTTTTGTTTTGAAAGAAAAAATTTCGTTTTAATTTACTATTTATTTATTAAAAAAATATCGTATTTTCATATATGTTATATACAAATGATCATTTATGCTATCTAAAGATTCTTATATTTTTTTGTCAACTCCTAACCATGAATGTAAGATTTTACAAAAAGCATTTGAGCTATATTGTGTATACAAATTTGGTTCTCAAAAAATTAGCACATGATATCTTAGCCATTCCTGAGTTGAAGTTCAATAAACTTTGAAAACTTGAATCATTTTAAAAAGTTGGAAAATCATTTTTAGAAAAATGATGATTATTATTATTTATTTATTTATTTGCAAGGATCAGCAAAATATTATTGTTGTAGACACATGCGTTTAGATAAATATTTATTTCAAAATATTAAATAGAAATCAAAAATGAAAGAGTAAGTGATTGTTTAATTTTATTTATGACAAGAATTAAAAGAAAAGGTAACTTACTGTTTAAACTAAACTTATCAAAAGAATTCTAATTTTTTGGGGGTTTTATTTTGCAACACTTTCTTAACAAAACTATCAAATTTTGGATTGGGCAGTAAGAACCATATTTTATTTTTCCTTGCCTAAAACTCATGATTTTTTACTATGAGTTTTACCATTGTGTCCAAATCGTTACATATCTTGTTCGAAATAAGATTTGAGTTAAAAAAACTTAATAGCTGAAAAGGAAAATTTCTAATTCAGCTAAAACATAATAAGTAGCTGATCTTATCTAATATTGCGTTATCTTTTTTTAAAAACAAATCTAAAATAGTTGTTCTTTGAAATTGTTTCTGATACATATTTTTTAATTGAATATTTAGATTTTCAAAGCCTATCGTGAAATCAATGATCTGCAGAATAAGTTAAGCAAAAAGTTCCCCAAAGCTGATTTACCTCCTCTTCCAACTGCTGATAAGCTGTCATGTGATCAGAAAGTTGAAACTCTTGACACGTTTATGCAGTCTGTAGCCAAGAATGTTGATTTATGCAGCTCCTCTACTTTTGTGCAATTCATTGGTAATTTGTCACTTTTTTAATCGAAAAATTCATTAATATTTAAGATGTAAAAATTTATTTTACTTCTTGTGATGTTTTACATCAAATATGTGAATTTTGTTTTTTGGGGTGTGTATTTTTGTGCACACTTTTATAAATTTGGATTCTCACTTGGGAATGGGCAAAATTGAAGGAATGTTTCTTCCAATACACTATTTCCTGCTCTAATAACACGGAAAAACTAGTTTTTTCTATGCGGAGAAGAGTGCAGGTTAAAATACAACTTTTTACGTACGGAACCGTCAGTGGGTCAAATAATGTTTTTGTTTAAAACTACTCAAAATGTTAGCCAAGTAAATTTTTGAAATAGCACAAAAATTTAGTTATTGTAGTTTACAGAATACAATAGAGAATCTATGTAAAACAATTCGCATTAACTTTACAATAGCTAAAGCTAACCAAAATTAATAAATTTAACAGTTTTTAATAATAATGTTCTTGATCATTTAATTTTTTTTCTATAAATAATAAACACTTAAGTGCATACTTATTATATTCTGAACTTTTTGCATTTAAATATTATTTTTTATAATTACTATGGATTTGTCCCAAGTAATTTCTAAAGTAAGTTGAATGGTATGTAACATGATATATATATAACACAAAATATTTATTTATTGCCAACCTTACGTTTCAAGGTTGCATTATAAAGTTATTCAACTATTATTCGAAATTCCTTAAAAGAATCTGTTCTTACTGTTTGCAGTTTCATCTAGGGACTGTGCCCTGCATTGATAGTGGATTAAACCTTGTATCATGCAATTTCTATATTAACTGCCATAGTTTTAAATATTCACAGTTTTTATGAGAAAGTGTGCATAAAATGCTGTAGAGTTTTAATAATCTGACTTACATAGGGATAGCATGGGGGGCACACTCTTTTGTTTTTAGAAAACCTATTTATTATAAGTTTTATACATGCTTACATTTATGTATAAACACTTAACATAACTTGCACAACACTTAAAATAAACAATTTTCTAAAAACAAAAAGCATTCAAATAATGTTTTGATTTTTAACTTGAGTGATCTTACTGGTATGAGATTCAACACTTCCTTTGATTAGCAATTTTCTTTTTTTTTTCTTCTTTCAAATCTATGTTTCTTTTTCTGTCCTGTTTTTGAAGAGCCTGAAAAAAAAACCACTTATCAAAAAAATTCTTTCATGCACATTTTTCAATTTAAACTACTTTAAATCCATATATTTATTAAAATTGAGATGAGGTGCTTTTATTTTGAATTCTTCATTGTGGTTTGCTTATTAAGAGGTCATCCTCTAACTAAGTTTTAATTAATTATTTCTATTTGATTTTTCAATTTTACTTTCGAAATCTTTTGTTTTATTTAATTGAAACATTATGTTACGGACATTACATTATTCCGAGATAATTTAATTTTTTCTTATGCTAGTAACCTGTTGTAAGTTTAATAAAAATTATTTTAAATAACTATTATATGGTACACATGTAATACTCTTCACCCATTAAAGCCTCTTATTTACAAAAAATATTGTTAACAAACAGAAAAAAAGTATTAATTTAAAAATAAAACAGATAAATCTTTAATCTCCATCAATAAGCATTGAAATTTGCATTTTTTTTATTGTTATATAATGTTGATATTTTTTTTTATACTTTAACAAATACTATTTTATTTCTTTGCTCTGTTTAGCAAAAATATTTGACAGCAGAAATGAGTGTTCTATTTTTCAGCTGTTTATTTTTGTAAGTTATGTAATGGCTATAAACTGATTACAAATTCAATTTTGTGCAGGCTTAAATTCTTCAAAGCAGCATAATGTTTCTAAAATCGGTTCTGCAGCTACTCCAAGCGAATCAGAAGTTTTCCCTAAAATGAAATTTGGAGAGAAAAGTCAAACATCTTCAAGTAGCTTGTTTGAACAAATGAAGATACCCGGAGAAAGCAGTAACTCCAAAAACATTAAAACGTAAGAAACACTTAACCACTTCACTGATTGTCCCGAGTTAACTTGGGTATTGCAAATATTTATTGTATGCAAATATTTATTATTATTGCAAATATGTATGCAAATATTGTATTGCAAATATTTATTATCCCGAGAAAAGTCGGATGTAGCAGAATTTGTCAGAACGTTTTGTTTTATCACGTTTTCACTTGGCCGGAAGCAAAAAAAAAAAAAATTAATAATAATAATCTGCTGTCGTTGGAAGTTTGCGAGTTTTGCTGTTGGATTGTGGGACTGCTCACGTGTTTTGTGCAATCTTATACACGAAGGTTGCTGAATTTACATCGGAAAAAATAATGGCGCATCACTTCACTGGTGTTGGGAAACTATCATTTTTGTGTTGTTCCTTGTTTTAAAAACTATCATACAAAGACTAGTATTTAATTTTTTTCCCCCTTGATAACTCGGGATAGTAAACTGGTGGTAAATAAAATGTTTTTCATACATAAAAAAAATTAAAATTTCAACTTTAAACTTGTATATTAGGTTTCGTTTTAGTTCCTTGTATTTATTAATAAAAAATAAAAAAATATGCTAATTTTTGGCTTTTTTCTTTTTAAAAAAATTGGTACGGGAAGCAGTTAATGGATAAGTGCTGTTGGTAATATTATGTGAATAAAAGGTAGCAGAGATAAATATTGCTTACCTTTGTCTTGTGCATGGTTACGTGTGCATAGTGTTGTCTTCACTTTATATTCTTCAATAGTCAGGGGTCTGCTTAGAAGAAATTTCCCTTCATAAAATAACTTTTCATAAAAGATTCACAAAATATTTTAACTTAAAAACGGACCCTTCACAAAATAGTTTATCTTTTAATTGGACCTTTCACAAATTGTTTATCTTCATTATTGTGTGGTTGATCGAATGAACCCTTCCCAGGAAGGAGGGAAAGAAGGACAAATGCAAACGAACTAAGTTTTGTCTTCTGGCAGACGCTTCTTCCTTTATTCGTTCGAAATTATTATTCTGCATTCAGTAGTATAGGCTAAATACCAAATATTTGTATGTTGCATCTCTAATATAGTAGCAGCAATTGCCGTTTATTTTTTAAAATTTAAATTTTTTTTTAATTATAATTTTACAGTGTTGAGTATAATCTTGTATGTCTTTACAATTCAAAAACTTCTTGAAAAAGTTTTTTGCAATAACAGGACTCTATTTGCACAAATTCACAAAAGCAGGACCCTGGTTGAATGAATGTGCTATAACGTTTATTTTATATTCACAAATTACGAGTAATTTTTTCACAATTTTACAAAAACGGACCTTTCGCAAAATGTCTGGACAGACCACTGATAGGGCACGAATACCTAGTGTGACATTGCTCAATAAATATAGACATTGTTAATTCAGTAAAAAGTTCAAATTGCTTTTTAAAAATACAAGTTTATTATTAAATAAACATGATTAGTGAATAGAAGGGAGTGATTTCAACACGATGGATGAGTAGTGAAGTAAAACTTATTGAAAGTTGTTCATTACATAATTAAACTGAGACATCCAGAGGCTAAAATAATAAACAATGAATCATTGAATTGGAAGATTAGTGATAAAATATTTATTATATAACAGTGCTTCATTTCATAATCATTCCATTGTTTTACTTTATGACTTTGCGATTGATGTGTTAAAATTGCTATAGTGTTAAAATCAGGGATGGTTAGTTTCTTCCAAAATGGAAAAAAACAACTGGAAGAAATTGGTTTCTTCCCACCCAAGTGGGAGAAACTCTTTTTCAAAAAGAAAAATCAAAATATTAAAAGAAATTTTCATTCAGTTTAAATAATAGTCATATTGTTTTCATAGCTATTTAATGTATTATTCTCAGTGAAAACTAAAGAGCAATAATTGAAAAGAAAAGTAAATTTAATATATGTTTTCAAAAATTAACATGACTGTAGTCCTTCAGTGTTTTAAGCAAATGAATAAAGTAAAAAACATCAAGCAAATCGCAGAAGCAGTAATCAAGACTTATGGAAACATTTGATTCGGCTATGTCATAGACACGACAAAAAAAAGTAATAATAAAGTAAAAACTTTAAAATTATATTAAGATCTGTTAAAATTTCATAATTAAATTTTATTATTACAACTAAATTAAAAGTCACATACTAAATTTATACGCCAATACAAAGCGCATGTTAAATTCACAATTATAAATAACATTAATTTTTTTTAGCATCAAATACTGTTAAGTATGAACACTCAAACTAAATTTTAAACTATATGGATTTTAAAATATAAATTGAAATTAATATATAGATTCTAAAATTCTGTATGAAACTAAAATGAATAATCGGAAATTATTATTTTCTTTTTAAAGAACTGATGTTGAAAATGTTTAACTTTCTTGTACTAAATTTAATTTAATTTCAATTTAAACTATTTCCATAATACATACATATTACTAAATAGCTGTCTTGTCATTTTTAATTTTTTCCATTTTGACCAATATTTTTCTAGTGTCTTAAAAAAAAATAGGGTTTTTCTGAGTAAAATTTGTGAAATTATCAGCTCCAAGCAGTTAGCATTTAAAAATCATACCAGGGGAGTTCTTCCACGTTGGATTGGTCTAGAATGCCTGAAATGGAAAAGCTTAACAGATTTTCCCTAGATTTCTCTTCTTGATCAAAGCATTGCGTGGCAAAGATATTGCTTAATCAAAACATTGCACATATTCACACCTGAGTGCTCTGGATGTGTAGTAGGTGGAGATGTTACTACCCGCAACCAACTGCATATCCAGAGCACTCAGGTTTGAACATGTGCATGTTTTGATCATGGAGTGAAGTCTAGTAGACAGGTTTAAAAAAGTGGAATTACTTAAATTCAGGGAAAATTATCGGAGAGTCGGGAAGTGTTTCTATATCTGATGTTGCTCATCAGCTACAGATTACTATTTTTTTTTACACAAGGCGAAAAGTAATAAGAAATAAAAGTTAACACATTTTTTGTTACCACATGTTATTTTTCAGTCATTTTTGTATTTCATTTTATTGGTCATTTATTTAAATAATGTGTAATTAAAGTGGGGAGTTTGGAACTATTAGTTAAAATTATTTGTGAAACGGTTATAGTGAAGTGAAATTTCGGTCCCTTGAAGGTTCACTATAGTGGGGTTTGACTGTATATATATATATATATATATANATCCGGAATAGCGATGGTCCCGATCGTTCCGGATAATCGGTTCCCTACTGTACATGTTATTTTTCAGTCATTTTTGTATTTCATTTTATGGGTCATTTATTTAAATAATGTGTAATTAAAGAGGGGAGTTTAGAACCATTAATTAAAATTATTTGTAGAACGGTTATAGTGAAGTGAAATTTCGGTCCCTTGATGGTTCACTATAGTGGGGTTTGACTGTATATGTAAATATATGAATATATATATGTAATGCTTTCGTGCCAAATTATCCTTTTTCATATTATAAAACTTAAATATTTCATTTTCAATTTATGTTTCTCAGTATTTTATTTTGCAGTCATATTTAATATTCCTTTTTTGTAATGATAATTCCATAATAATTTTTACTAAGCATTTATTCAGGAAAAGAGTAAAGAAAAGCTATGTGCAAATATACATGGCACGGAAGTTCCTGGAGACAAGTTCACTACATTATTTCCAAAGGACAAGTGTGCACTTTTTTCACCCGCTGCATATAGTTATTTTCTCCTATCATGTGATCTACAGTACCCAGACTTCTTTGTTAGAAATGACGCTGTAAGATGTAATCATAAGACTGGATGCAAGATGTATTAAGATCTCAAAATATTTATTAAATTGAATGATTTTTGGTTTCATAAAGGCATTTTACTACGCATTATGGACTCATTTAAAAATATAGATTACATTTCTATTCAGTTGAGGATAATATATATGCTAAGTGCTTAGTTTATTTTGTGAAAGAGAGTATTTAATCTTCTCATCTGTTAGAAAGGCTAGTCTACAATTAAAATATAATTCTTCTAAGGCTTAGTTTTAAGCTCCTTTAATTCTATTAAGCTATTATTTTAGATGTTACATATATATGTATATGCAATTTAAGTTTTACGAAATATTTTTTCGATGAATGTTTGCCTTCATTTTCATGTTTATTTTGGTTTTTGCAGTGCCCCTCAGAGCCTCTTTGATGAGTTTGATGATGATAGTTTATTCAGTTCAAAATCATATCAGAAAAAGAAAGAACAGTCTAATGAAACTGAGAAAAAAACAGAGAAGAAAGCTGTTTCAAATAAACAAAAATCTGTGAAATCTGACTCTGAGAAAGTTGTTGAATCTGATATTATAATTCAAGATAGAAAATTTGGTAACTCTATTTCTTTTGCATTCTAAAACAATGATGTAATTTTTTTTGCCTGACTATTTTTGTGAATAGAAGGGAAAAATTTTTTACTCTATTATATGAGCTAAAATAGTGTATAAGTTTGTTTGTTTTTTTAAAAAATCTATTTCAATTTCTCTTGGAACAAATTATGCAAACAAAAATAACTTGCCAAAAAAATTATAAGTTTCATTTTCTGCTTTTATAAATAAAATAATTATAAATGATAATTTCTCTAAATGATAAATTCTCTTAATAATAGATATTTATTTATTATTTTTGAGTTCGGTAAGCAAACTTTTTATATATCAGGGTTCCCACTGTCCTTAAAAGTCTTTAAAAACTGCATAATTTTTATTTTGGAAAATAAGGGCCTTTAAAAGTCCTTAATTTTCAGCATCACTATAATAAATAGGAACTTTCTTTCAGTCTTACAAAAGTATTAAAAACAAAAATCGTTCTTTTATCGCTTAGCATGAGACCACGCATCTAGGGTAGAGCATTTTAGAGAGACAAGAAGAACAAGGCAAGGCGACGACATCATGTCCTTCTTACATTAATATATTGGTCTTTTATTATAAATTCTTGTGATGGAAACTTTATTAATAATAACAATAATTATAATTTTATATAAATTAAAACATATTCATAAGGTTAAAAGAGCTCCATTGTTCTATCATAATTAAAGGCACATTAGTATGCTCTTTAAGCAAGTTGAATAAAATTTGAATTTATGTATCATGTTAATTTATAATTAATTATTTGAAGGCCTTGTTCTAAGGACAATTATGTATTTCGTTTTTTAAGCAAAACCTAATGATCTCGTTCAATAAATTAAAAAAAGGAAAAAACACCTTGGAAAGAAGTTCTCAGATTCGCAAAATTTGCCTGAACCCACTTTGGCAAAGCCTGGTAATAAATACAATTTTATCAGTACTTGCATTATAATAAAGTTGTTTTATTATTTATTTTTTAACAAAAAGGTAAATAATTGTCACTTTCACTAGGGGTATATGTATACTTAAAGATAACAGTTATTATACTATTTTTAAAATCCTTAATTTTTCAAAAAACCTTTAATTTTTTCAAAAAAAAGTACTTAATTTTTGCTTTGTTAAAAGAGTGGGAACCCTGTATATCAAGTTGAACTTTTTATAAATTGAGTTTCTTTTTTAAAGCAATTATATTTTTACTGGAACAATTTTTGTTTCATTAACAAGCAAGTAAACAAAGCGAAAATTATAAGTCACAAAAATGTAAAAAAAAAAAATGAGTTTTACTTTTGTCACTGGAAAAGTTGTAAATGACAATTTTGAAAAATGTGCTAAAACCTTTCATATTTTCTTACCTGAATTAGTTTTGAGATTGAAATAAAATATTTGTGGCTTTGTATTGGTCAAAGAAATAAGCCAATTTCTATTAAACCAATTTTTTTCATAAGTAAATAAAACAAATATTGCAAGCCACAAGAAATTTAAAAAAAATCAAACTAAGTTTCACTTTCTACTTCCATCACTAAAAAAAATTCTGAGTCATAGTTTCTCAAAAAGTAAGAAACTAGGAAAAAGTGAGTGAATTATGATAATTTTAAAAAATTCCCTTTAAATCAAAGGAAGAAGTATATGTTAATGTTTTCTAAGATTGCTAGTGAACAGAAGTAATTTAATATGTACTTTTTGCATGTCACTGAAATACCTTTGCAGGTTTACCTTCTGCTTGCAATAATTGCCTTGGCAAATAATTTTATGATACTCTTTAAATATTATCCTGTGGTGCTCATAAGTAATTGAATTACTTAGATCTCCAGATTTGCATATATTTAACAAATTAATATGATTTTTTTTCTTTTTTTAAGTTTGATTTCCAAAAACCCACAGGCTGATATTTTTTGTTTGAAACTTATATAATTATTTAATTTATATATTTTATATAGATATCATTAGTTGTCTTTTGGAATGAGGAGTTTTGCGTTTAAGGGCTTAAATAGTTTCTGTAAATGTTTGAATAAATTTTATTTTCTAATTCTATACTTTTGACTTGTATGACACTTTTGTGTTAAAAATGAGGAGTCTACTGCTTTCTTTTCTGCTTTCTCTATAATGATGAAAGAGTAAACAAGATTTTTAAATTTTTAATACTAATATATATATATANTATCAAGAAAAATTTCAAATATCTCTGATGTGAACTGATCCTTGTAATTGTGAGACCCTGGACTAATGGCCCATTAATTATGTTCAGGAATACCAAAAAATTTTAATGTTCAAGTGTCAAAAATGATTATGTATTTTTTAAAATCTTTTTTTAATAATAAGTACCTCAATAAGTAAAGCTTATTTTTGTATGTTAAATACATGTCAATCTTCTCCATTTAGGGGATGTATCATTATTTGATGAGCAAGATTTTGGTGATTACATCACAAAAGATGAAGAAGCTTTATTTTTAGTGACACCCTCTGATGAAAAGAAAAAGAATAATACCTTAATTACTAGACCTAATGATACATTTCTATCAGCTGAAGAAATCGAAGAGTGAGTTATTTTATGCTTTAAATCTGTTTATTTGTCACTTTTTTAAAAAAAGTAATAAATAAATAAAATAGGTCATGAGAGTGAAGTTATACTGTTAAACTTCCATAGTTTTTATTTATTTATTTTAAATAACGATAAATAAGAGTTGAGAAAAAATGGCAATCCTTGTTTGTGGAATATTTTAGTATTTATTACATTATGAAAAAAAAAGAGGATAGTTTATTCGTTCCTGATGAAAATTAGAATAATTTTTCTTTAATTATTAATGCTCCAAATGAATAATAAATTTGTGTGAGTTTATGAAGACAAGAAGTTTTCATTTGTGTTGTGTTTGTGTATGTTTATATCTATTATATTTTTGTTGGCATGGTTTTTTATCTAAAAAAATTTTTTATCTTTCAATTTTTTTTATCTAAAATTTTTTTTTCTTTGTTCATGTGCATTAGACTGCTTAAAGCATGTATTATATCTAACTTTGAAAAACAATTGCATTATATAGAACTGCCTTAAGTTATTGATATTATTGAAGATTTTTTTTCCTTAGCATGTTTGACTTATCAATTTTGTAACTAATTCTTCCAGCTTTATGGCCATTCAAGTGCAATGTGCATTGACAGGAGTGGAATTTTAAAAAAAAATCAATAATTAACCACTGGACTAGTAACTAAATGATATAAGAAGTCCCTACACATTTTCACTGAACCATTTACGTGTATTGCTTAAACTTTGTTTTTAAAAAAAATTGATAAAATGAATTTAAAGGAGAAATTACTGTTCAGAGATGTTCTCAGTTATGATGAAATATGTTAATTTGTGACAATAATGCAGATCAAAACATTAAACTGAAAATCAAAACACAGTCACCAGAATATTCTCTGGCACCAAAGTTATTTTAAATTTCCTTTTTTAATGTTTATTTGTAATTGTTTCTTTATTGTTTAATACAAATATTTTTTCATAAATCCTTGAAAAATTTTTTAAGAAATTATTGTGTATTTTTTTAAATTTTATTTTCATATTTCTTAATAACAAAAGTGAAATTGTTATTTCATTCTTGCTTTTTATTTATCTGAGTTACTTTTCAGTGAAGTTAGTAAAAACGGATTACGTACTGGTATCACTACTTAAATTCTAGATGGTGAATTTATTCTACTTAATTTATAGGAAACAGTGGTCTGCCTTCGAAGCATTTACATTTCCTGTTTAGAAAAATAAAAAACTTTGTGTAAGCTTAGACTTGAAGAGGATGTTATTTTCATGTAGAGACAGGGGTCTATCCCGCAAGTGTTACTTTTGTAATGCCTTGCCCTTATATTTTATATTTACTTTTCTAAATTTGATTTTATAGCCATCAGTTAAACATTTAAATATTTACAAATTGAAATGAACTACATTCTTAGTTAATTAAATTTGTTTACCTTGAATTATTTTTATACCTATATGATGTGATGGTTCCTTATTTTCAGTTAAAGGAAATATTTGTATTACTTGTTTTTAATATTAGTGTAGTTATTATTATTATTTTTTTTTAATTGTGTTGTAATTCTTATTTCTGGTGTAACCTCTGAACAACTTGAGTAATACCTTACCATTTTGTTTTTCTGGAAGAATGACTTATTTCAAATCCTCGTGAGCATGACAGTCACGACTAGTTCCATTGAGGTTAAGATTTAATATGACAATTTTCTCAATTAGTATTAATTTTAGTAATTTGTATAATTGGTTATTTTTGATAAGTTTTAAACAGCTTGAAAATATTGTGCAGGAATGTCAAAACAAATAGTAATGTGCCTTGTGAATAATTAATTTCCTGGATTATTATTACTATAGTATTCAGTATTCTGTTGTCTGAGAAATAATAAGTGATTCTAATGCAGATAATTTTTCCTGTGAATTTTAAATTTTAAATATACCACCTGTAAAATAAGCTAAGGTAAAACCATTCTTTTTAAAATGAAAATTACTAGTGCTATTTTTATTCTTCAATATTATTTGGAGTTCATTCTTAATTTAGAGGAAATGCTGGATTGTATTGAAATTTAATTAAAAAAAATTTTAAAAAATTATAATTTTTTTTTTTAATTAAATGTTTTTTTTTATAAAATTCTACATCTTCAGAATGGACATGCGATGAAATTTTTTCTCTTTCGAACTATTGTAAAATTATTCATTAGTTGTTTGATTACATAAATATTTCTCTATAGCGATTGCTGTGTAGCATATCAAAAACTTTAAACTTTTGTAAGGCTGTAAACTTTTCGATTGTTTACACAAATAAAATTGTAAAGGGTAATTTTTTGTTTCTTATCTCAACACTCTCTCGTTTTGTGGAACCCAATGATTAGTTGCATTTACTTATTTCTCAATGATTTTAAGTTAACTTTATAATTGAAGCATTTGTAGGTGTTTTTCTATTTCTATTAAGAATTATGTCAGAATTTTGATTTAGAACTAAGTTTTAAAGTAGTTGTAAAAAATGTTTTAATACTGTTTTTTTACAACAATTAATTGTGATAAAAATATCCTAAGTTGTTATGGTTACTTCTCTTTAGTAATGCTACACAAATATTACATAATTTAATTAGTTAGATGAAAAAATTTTTCCTTAATTACTTTTTTTACTCTACCATATTCTATTGTAGGATAATTTATTCTATTATTCAGTTACGTAATTAAAATTCTAAAATGATCTACCATTTACTTAGATAAGGAACAGTATGTTTGTTACAAACATACCATTCCTTTATATCGATTGTTAAACTAAAGGACCACTAAAAATTATTTTATGATTTTCCGAGTCAAGTTTCAGTGGTCCGACCACTCATAATTCTAAACCCTGCATATATAATTTTTATGACTTTTAAAGTATCTGAATAGTTTCAACACAATTCATTTTAAAAAATGGCTTAGTTAAAATTTGAACTAAGCTTTGATTAGCAAACATAAGTTTAGTAATCAGGGATCCTAAAATTATAAATTTTAAGTACATTTTAAAAATTTGTGAGATATTTCTTTAAATTGAACTTAAAGACTACAAATTTTCTTGTCACGCTAACAGCTCTACATCAAATTGTAATGCATAATTATCAAAATTAATTGTTTTCTAGATCAATAATATGATTACTTGTGTTTTTAAATCTTAATTAAAATCTTTAAAGCAATTCAATTATATAACTGAATAGAACTAATCATATTCAGAATTGATTTTCTAAAAGAAAAATATAAATATTCTTATAAAACATTCATTAACAAAGGCAATAATTTACAATATATTAAGATAACTCTGTAAGTAAAAAAGAAAAAGTATAAAAAGCATTGACTCATTTAACTGTACAACATTATCATTCATTTATTATTCCAAGTTTTGAACTTAATTTTGGAAATATCAGTGAAGGAAAGTACTAAATTACAGTCTCTGAGAATTTTTGGAGTAAAAAACATTAAAAAAAAGAGTCCTTATTGAAAAACGTACATTAGTTGTTAATTTCTCAGTCCGATATTTTTTCATATTTATAATTATAACACCTTTTTTAGTATTTATAAAAAGGTTGAATAATTACAGAACAAAAGCAAAATGAATTACATTTTTATGCAGTAGTAATTTTAAGCATGGTTCTTTCGCTTCTCATTTGCAATGTTTGTAACTACAGAATTGTTTGCTGAAATTGCTTTTTTTTTTAAATTCAAATAAAATAAACAAATATTTAAAAAAAATTGAACCTTTCTGATTTGTTCCAATTGAATTTGTTGAAAATAGTAAATAAGGTGATATACTTTTTTTGTTCTTTAAATTGTAATTGGGTATCTTTTTCATAAAAGTAATCTGAATTTCAAAATTTTTGAAACAATTGAAGTGCTAAATTTAATTTCGTATACTATATTTAAGTCAATAGACTGTTTGTGAAGCACATTTTCTGTCTTGTAAACTGTTTTGATAAGTGACCAGGCAGAAAAGAAAATTTATGTTTTATAAGGATTGGCATTTCATATGGAAGGAATCTATTTTCTTCCATGACATTTTATTTTATAACCGTCGTTTAACAGCCGACCCAACTTCATGGGTTTACGACTACTAACGTTCAACTTCGTAGCCTTGTAATTTTGAACTAATCCAGAGGACAAGGAAACTCCTGGATCAGTACCCCCAGAGGTATTGATTTGTTGTGGGAACATGGAGGACTTTGAGACTCGACAGATTTAACGTGCAGTAGTCACCATTTACTACACGGGGAGTCTTCGGCCGGCGAGGATCGAACCCACGACCTCTTGGATATGGGCCCAGTGCCCTACCGACCAGGCTATCCCAGCCCCTTCCTTGACATTTGAAAAAACTTGAAGAATGAAAAAAAAAAACTTGAAAGATCAATACAAATGTTTAGAATTAGAGCAATAGAATAGCTAAATTTTAAGCAAATTAAATTTAATATAGTATCAGAGAGTTGAAAATTCATATCATTTAAGAGTCGATTTGAGTCTTCATACTTAGCAGTATTTGATTATAAAACTTAGTATACTATTTGTAATTGTTTTTTTGTGTTTTTTTGCCTTTTAGTAGTGCATATGTTTATTATGCTATTTGTTAATTTAGTATTAATAATGCATATTTTAACAACTCTTTATATAATAATAAAATTAGGTTTTACTATACTCATTTACATAGAATGACAGCTGTTTTAATTTCTTAAGAAATTCATTCAATTTATTTTTCTTTTCAATCGTTTTTTAATATTCTTTCATTTAAAAATAATAAAATTGACGAAATGATTCATTTAAAATGCTTGCAAATGAATGCTGTTGTTTAAACTATATTGCAATTATAAATTGTTTAAAAAAAATAGTTTTAATATTTGATCTTTCTTTTTGAAAAAGATTTTCTTCCACTTGAGCTGGAAAAAGCACATTTCATCTCAGGTGGTTTTTTCCAAAGAAGAAACTTGCAGTCCTTGTTATCTAGGCACGTAACTTTTCATAAAATGTTATAAAATAAAAAAAATTCTTCA